TTGTGTCCCAAGAGTCTAGGATGGAAATAAGATTTCTTCAAAAGCTAGAAGCTGTTTGTGGTTTTCTTTTCTTTCTTTCTTTTTTTAACTCGAAAAGCAATGCATATCCATTTAAAAATAAATACTAGTTTACTTAAAAGTAAATTATAATCTCAGTTTATTGCCAAGTGATGCAGAAAAATTATGTGTATGCACATGCAGCACAGTTTGTAAAGCACATGTGGCCAAAAAATTAGCAGTGTGTGAATATAGATGAAGTTTATAAGGTTGTTTATATTCTTTCAACTTCTCTGTAAGTTTGAAATTTTTCTAAAAAGGAAGATGGACATTAAATAAAAACAGAAATCAGGAATATCCTTTATCTCCAATCCCCAACCCTATTCACCCTCCAGAGGTAAACTGTTAGCAGTTAAGCTTGTATCTTTTCAAGCAAGTTTTTTTTTTTTTAAGATTTTATTTATTTTATTTATTTGACAGACAGAGATCACAAGTAGGCAGAGAGGCAGGCAGAGAGAGGAGGAAGCAGGCTCCCCACTGAGCAGAGAGCCCGATGTGGGGCTCGATCCCAGGACCCTGGGATCATGACCTGAGCCAAAGGCAGAGGCCTAACCCACTGAGCCACCCAGGCGCCCCTCAAGCAAGTTTTTAACAAACTGATTTAGAAAGATACAGTAGTACAGTTTTTTAAAAAAATGGAATCATCGTATATGTAGGATTATACTATATTTACTGATACTGTGCTTGCTTTTTTTTTTTTAAGATTTTATTTATTTATTTCACAGACAGATTACAAGTAGGCAGAGAGGCAGGCAGAGAGAGGAGGGAGCAGGCTCCCTGCTGAGCAGAGAGCCCGATGCAGGGCTTGATCCCAGGACCCTGGGATCATGACCTGAGCCGAAGACCGAGGCTTTATTTAACCCACTGAGCCACCCAGGCGCCCCTGTGTTTGCTTTTTAAACAACAGTATGTATTAGTTTTCTGTTGCTCTGTAATAAATTACCACAAACTTAGCAACTTAAAGTAACACAAATATAGAATTCAGGAGGTTAGAAATCAGAAATGGGTTTCTCTGGGCTAAAATCAAGCAGGGCTGTGTTTCTTCAGGCCACTTAGGGAAAATCGATTTTCTTGCTTTTTTCCTACCTTTTAGAGTCTCCTTCCATCCTTGGCTCATGGTTCCCTCCTCAGTCTTCAAAACATCTTGAAGCTTAGCATCTTCAGATATCTTTGACACCTCTCTCTTAAAAAGACCTTTGGGAAATCAGTGGCCCACCTCAATAACCCCCATCTTAAGATCTTTAATTGTGTCTGCAAAGTCCCTTTTGCTTTGTAAGGTAACATACAGACAGATTTCAGGGATAAGACATGGACGTTTCTGGAGGGCTTTTATTTTACCTACCACACTACATACCATACCTAGCTTGCTTTATCAGTATATGTGACTCTAACATTCTTTTTAACAACTGTATAGAACAGATATAAAATTTGTGTAATCACTCTTATGAATATTTAGGTTTCCAATTTTAATGTGATGATAAGTCCTGCTAGGAACATTTTTGTACATATCTGTATGAATATATCCATGTATCTGTGGGATAAATTCCTAAAACTGAAATTGCTGAATCAAAGGGTGTATGTGTTATTGATTTGATAGTATTGCCAAATTGCCTTCCAAACTGTTGCACCAAGTCACATTCCTGTAGCCAAGCCTATTTATTTACCCATACTCTTGTAAACACAAAATAATAATCTTTTTCATGTTTTTCAATATATGAGTAAAAATTTTATTCCAAATTGCATTTCCATCATTAAAAGTGAGGTTGAGCATTGTTGTTCTACTTTCTTTTGGAATTTCATATTAAACATTCGGACATAAAGAGCAACGTACTTCATGATGGACTTGTGAGAATTTGGGTCCAGAATGTTTGTATTTACTTAAAAGCATATTTACACTATACTAAACATTTTTTAAATAACTAGCTATACATTAAGGTTAGTGGCTTCCCAAAAGGAAACATGTTGTAATAATTACCCAGACTTCTTAATAATAAGTGTATATTGGGCTTTGTTGTTGATTACATAAAATATAATGATTTATTTCCTTATTTCTAGGTTTTGTTTTGGCTTTTTGGTGTTGAAGTAATTCTGAATTGGGATTTTTTTTTTTTTTAACTCTGTAACTACCAGCTTCATAGTATCAACTTTGAATATGTCTCCATTACTTCTTTGTCACATTGCACCTTCTTCCACACAATATGTGAAACCTCTGTGATACATAGAAAATATGCAGAGAAACATGAAATGTAATTTGAGATTATCTATACTCAGCCTTCAGCCAATTAATCTTAAATGACTGATCTCTGAGAGAAAAGTTAGTCCGTCCATAACCCAAACCTTTAAAAAATCCTTTCAAACTGAAAACAGTGATTTCTTCTGAAAGTGGGGGCAAGAAGATGACTAGATGGCTAGAGTGGTAGTGTCAGGGGTGGGAGGGAGTCTTCTCAGTGAAAGAAGTATCTTTAAGGATTTTGGATTAAGGATTTTGAGTATCTTTAAGGATTGTAAATATGGAACTAGGTCACCTATTTAAAAGTCATTTTGAAAGCCCTTTTGTAATTCTCATGCGACTCAAGTGATAGCTTGATTCATTCCACTAAAGTGTGGGAAGATAAACCATCGTATCTTTCCACATTAAAGGTAGGATCTAAAAGTGATTCTTAATCTCACGTTCGTTAGTGTATACAATTGACCCTTGAACGAAGTGGCAGTTAGAGATGCCATGTATAACTTTTTTTTTTTTTTTTAAGATCTTATTTATTTGACAGGGAGAGAGATCACAAGTAGGCAGAGAGTCAGGCAGAGAGAGGGGGAAGCAGGCTCCCTGCTGAGCAGAGAGCCCGATGCGGGGCTTGATCCTAGGACCCTGAGATCATGACCTGAGCTGAAGGCAGAGGCTTAACCCACTGAGCCACCCAGGCGCCCTGCCATGTATAACTTTTGACTCCTCCAAAATTTTACTAATAGTCTGTTGACTGGAAGCCTCAGTGACAACATGGACAGTTGATTAATACATATTTTGGATATTATTTGTGTCATATACTGTATTCTTACAATAAAGGGGGCGAAAGAAAATGTTAAAATCGTACAGAAGTGAAAATACAGTACTGTACTATATTAAAATTTGCCTATATGTTGACCTGTGTGGTTGAAAACTATATTCAAGGAGCAACCGTGTATTATTATTATTGCATTATAAATTCCTGTATAAATATATATATATATTTAAAGATTTTATTTATTTGACAGACAGAGATCACAAGTAGGCAGAGAGGCAGGCAGAGGGAGAGGAGGAAGCAGGCTCCCCACTGAGCAGAGAGCCCCAGGACCCTGGGATCATGACCTGAACCGAAGGCGGAGGCTTAACCCACTGAGCCACCCAGGTGCCCCTGTATAAATATATTTTGAAAGAAAATTAAATGTAAATCACCTAGAACTTCTAAGTCAATATAATAATCCAAATCCCGTGCATTTAATTCTTCTTTCCTCTCCAAAAGTCTCATTGAAATAACAAAAATAGAAACACAGAGAAAATGCTGATTAACTCAGGTAATTGGAAACTGAAAGTGTACTAAAACTGTTATTTCTAAATGACATAGTGTTGGAAAGATTTCATTGAACTTTTCATTGATGAATTCTCAGTATTAAAAAATTATCTGAAACGTTGATTAATGCCCACCCATTCTCTTGCCATTCTCCTGCCAACCCATCATCAAAAATATAGCTCAGAGAGGCGCCTGGGTGGCTCTGTGGGTTAAAGCCTCTGCCTTTGGCTCAGGTCATGATCCCAGGGTCCTGGGATGGAGCCCCGCATCGGGCTCTCTGCTCAGCAGGGAGCCTGCTTCCCTTCCTCTCTCTCTTTCTGCCTGTGTCTCTGCCTACTTGTGTTCTCTGTCAAATAAATAAAATCTTTAAAAATATACATATATAGCTCAGAGCTACAAGTATTATGAGCAAGGGAGCCAATTGATGAGAAGCAAACCTAGATCTCGGCTCAAACTTCTCATTCGTCTTTGTTGGATCTCTTCTATTCAATTTAGTAGGATGTTGGTTTTTCTCAGGGCTTCATGGCTGTTTGATGATAATTCACAAATGTAAATCTCCAGTCTTGTCACTACCACTTTACCTGCTATCCTCCTATGCATATTAAAATCTGAACACCTTTAAATCAGGGGAAAGGACTTACAAATCTTTCCTCCTCTTACTCCTTTTTTCTTCTTATGTATTGTAGGTTTGCTGAAAATGCCAAATGGCATCAGTAAGTGTAGCTTATCCTTACATCTGTCATTCACAGTCTAAAAGTATTTTTGCCAGGGGACATCTGGATAGCTCAGTTAGTTGAGCACTGGACTCTTGATTTTGGCTCATATCGAAATCTTAGGGTTATGAGATCCAGCCCTGTTGTTGGCTCTGAGCTAAATGTGGAGTCCACTTGGGATTTTCTCTCTCTCCCTCTGCCCTCCTCCCCATGCGCACTCTCTTGCTCTCTCTAAAGTAAAATTTTTTTTTTTAAGATTTTGTTTATTTATTTGCTAGAGAGACCAGAGAGAGTGAGTACAAGCAGGGTAGGCAAAAGGAGAAGCAGGCTCCCTGTTGAGCGAGGAGCCTGATGTGTGGGCCTCAATCCCAGGACCCTCTAGGATCTTGAGCTGAGCCAAAGGCAGACGCTTAACCAACTGAATCACCCAGGCATCCCTAAAGTAAATAAATCTTAAAAAATTGTTGCTGCCAGGGCACCCAAGTGGCTCAGTGGGTGTGGGCTTGAGATACTGACTCAGGTCATGATCACACGTGTTGCACTCCACACAGCGGGAAATCTGCTTGAGAGTTTTCTCCCTCTCTCTCAAATTAAACAATCTTTCTTAAAGTATTTTTGCCTATCAGGATAAAATGCTCCCTTGGTCATGATAAAACCTTTTGGCTAATATTCCTTACTATTTTAGGTTGAATTCTCTTACCCGCCCCTGATTCCAGGAGATGGTCATGACAGCCCCACTTTACCTGAAGAATGGAAGTATTTGCCCTTCCTTGCCTTACCAGATGGCGCACACAACTACCAGGAAGGTATGTAAACAATGGAGCAATTAGTAGGTGCCTTTTTTTTTTTTTTTTTCCTAATTTACCAAGACATCTTAGAGTCGAAGTATTTTGGTAAATGAAAGGCCTTTGGCTTCTTGTGACTACACATAAAATATTTAAATGCTTGTTTAGAGATGACTAGTCATGCACTAGAAGATTTCCAGAGGAGTGCTGGGTTTATGTTGGTAATGTTAATGAGCATTAGCTATTCTTTTGCCAGGAGAGCAAAGTAAGTGGCCAGATTAGGACATGTGCTACTGGTAGCACTTCTTGCATTTATCCTCAGACTCCTTTCAGAGGGAAACTAAAGGGCTTAGCTGTACTAGCTACCAATTGACTAGGGCTCTAGCTGCAGACATACTGATTAGTACTCCAGTGCCCACCTGGGATTACCTCTCCACCCTGGAACCACCGCTATTACAATGCTCTGCTTAAAAGTTAACATGCAAGGCGTGGCTGGCTGGCTTAATTGGTAGAGCGTGCAACTCTTGATTTTGGGTAAGTTCAAGCTCCATGTTGGGTGTAGGGATTACTTAAAAATAAAATCTTTTTTTTATTTTTTTAAAAAGATTTTATTTATTTATTTGACAGACAGAGATCACAAGTAGGCAGAGAGGCAGGCAGAGAGGGGGGCGGGAAGCAGGCTTCCCGCTGAGCTGAGAGCCCGATTCGGGGCTCGATCCCAGGACCCTGAGGTCATGATCTGAGCCGAAGGCAGAGGCTGAACCCACTGTGCCACCCAGGTGCCCCAACCTACAGAAAAATTGAAAGAGTAGTATAGTGGATATCCCACAAATTATATTTATGTGTGTGTACAGTTTTGCCTCTCCTATTTGAAAGTCTAACACCATGTTGCAGACATTATGACAGTTTACCTCTAAATACTTCAGCATGCACTCTTAAGAATAATAAGCTCATTCCTCAGGATAATTTCCAGTACCATTATGACAGCTAAGAGATTTAATAGTAATTCCGTAATCGTCTTAATTATCTAATCTGTGTTCAAATATCTCCAGTTATTCTAAGAATTTCTTGGATCTATCCAAGATTCATGTGTTACTTTTTGTTTGTATGATTCTCTGCCTCTTTCAATCTGAAATAAAGTATATTCTTTTTTGTTAAAATTTTTTAAATTTAAATTCAGTTAACATAATGTATTATTAGTTTCAGAGGTAGAGGTCATTGATTCATCAGTCTTATATAATACCCAGTATTCCTTAGATCCCATGTGCTCCTTAATGTCCATCACCCAGTTACTTCATTCCCCACCACCCCCTTCCCTCCAGCAACCCTCAGTTTGTTTCCTATGATTAAGAATCTCTTATGGTTTGATAAAGTATTTTCTGAGATAAATAATTGTAGTTTCAGTTTTAACCTGTTGTATAATTCAGCCCTGTGAGCTTTTTGAGAATGTGCATGATTGAATACATAGTAAAGCAATAAGATGAATTCTAAGAAACCAGTGATGCTAGAAGTAGGTATGACATGGGTTCCTTATTACATCATCATTTTGGTTATAATTAACTGTATTATAATATTTCAGTTTACATTATTTATTAATAAGGATAATTCACTTTGGTATTTACATTTTTCTTTGTATCTCTTAGATACTGTCTTTTTTCACTTGCCACCCAGAAATGGAAATGGAGCCACAGTATATGGTATCTCCTGCTATCGACAAATTGAAGCCAAGGTATGATAGTTACAATGAACAATAACAACAAAACACTGATATTATTTTAGATTTTTATAAACAATTTGAAGTTGTTTTCCCTGTAGTACCAGTTTATTCACATTACTGTTTTTGTAAGTTGACATGGGTAACTATAATTACCAAAAAACATTTTGCCCATTGTTTTTATATAGCAATACCTAAATTATCCATTTGTCTTCAAAATACTGTATTTAAACTTTTATAGTGTTCTTGAATTTTCTTTTCTAGTGTTTGGTATATAATTTTAGAAAAATGAAGTGATAATGTATGTTGTTCTTTAAGCAGCTGTTTACAATTAGTGGAAGGTACTTTAGTAGCTTTGAAATACGTGCATTTTGTCTTAACTATCTACACCTATGGTTTTGTTGATTCTTAAATTACCTGCCAGCCAATTCCTGAATACTGTAATAACTCTAATTAATAAATTAAGCCAAGATGGGTAGCTTCCCCTTTCATGCTGGTTTGCTCCTGAGCAGCACTAGTTTTTTGTGGTGAAGATACTCTGAGTAAAAATCTCTTGCCTATCATGACATCATTAATACTCTAAAGTAGTGAGTGTTTCTCAACGTCATTGTACATTGGAGTCACCTGGAGAGCTTCAACTACTAGAGCTGACTGGGTCCCAGCTCCAGAAACTTTGATTTAATGTTCTGGTTATCAGGAGTTTTTAAAAGCTCCTCGGGTGATTGCATTATGTAGCCAATATTGCACACCACTGCTCTAAAACAGTGATTTTTAACCGGAATTACCTGGAGACTTTTTAAATACACACCTGGCCTTTCCTTCTGCTGTGACTAAATTAGAATATATGGGAGTAGAGCTTAGGCAATTATAAGTTTTAAAAGCTTCCTCAGGTGAATAATTAACTTCATCTTTTAAAAATTTATGTTAGCTTTTTATAATGACCACTTCAATCATGCAAATAAAAGAATTGTATGATGAACACCTGTATGCCCACCATCTAGATTCAACAAATGTCAGCATTCTAGCACAGCACTTTGAGAATGTGTCTGTATTTTTCCCTAAGTCATTTCAAAATAAATGGCAGGTGTAAATTCCACCTTAAAGTAGTTAACGACTGTAAAATCGCCCTTCATGCACAGGGCCTGGAACGTTGGACACACCTAGTAAAATATTTATGGAATGAGTAACTGGATTTAAAGATAAAGATAAACCTGAGAGTAAGAGTTAGTCTGATAGCTTTGTATGTTTGATTGCTTCGTATAATGTTACCCTTAATGTTTCTCTGAGATGAACCGAATTGCCCCCCCACCCAGTCCTGTTCTTGGATATCTGTTCCTTTTACCGTCATCTCCTATAGGTTGTGTAAGCACTAGTAAAATTCTCCAAAGCTGTCAACATTAACAACAGTTGTCATGCTCTGCATAGCCTTTAAATGGCATTTCATACTGCCCGTCTTCCTCACCCCCTGGGTCAGAGCCACTCGCAGTATATGGAGGTTGCCATTTTCTCCCAAATTTTTCTATCCTCATCCGATAACCAGAGGGATAAGACAGGTACCAGAAGGACCTAGAGTGTAGGAGAAAGACTGATTCCCTTTGAGTGAAAGTGAGACCTGATGGATGAGTCCGATCAAGGCAGAGAGGTAGAAAACAGATTGAGGGAAAGCTCTCGTCCTTGACTTAGTTTAATGAAGAGTCGTCAGTCATCAGCCAGTTGAAGACACTGAGGTTCCTTTGTCCTTAGGACAGGTCCAAGGAGGTGTCAGGCAGTAGTACACTACAGAGGGGAAGAATAGTTCTTACTTCCCTCAAAGAATTATCTGAGGTTGATCAAATGAAGGCTTGTTCCTTACTAGCAGAGAACTATAGACATCTCATGTGGTCATCCTCAGAATCCTCAAGGCTCAGGGCTGGGCTGCAGTACCAGTTTGCCAGGATAAAGTCCGGGCAGCATAGAATAACCACCTTATCTTCTCCACACTCTGTATGGCCTGGCTGTGCAGGTGGGGAGAAGTCAGTCTAATTAAAGATTGTGCAGTTCCTAGTAACAGGTGCCAAGAGGTTATGATACAGGTTTCTTGGGTCTGATGTACAGTGTGAATAAATGCTTGCAGCTCTTAGCCCTTTTCGATCAATGAAGCACTTTTTTATTAATATTTTTCTTTGTGTGTAAAGGAGGAAACGTAACTCTCTGTAGCTGCACATATAACCCTTTTCTCCTAAAGAGGAGTCAGTCAGTGCTCCTGTATTTTTCATTTTTGGTCAAAGCAGGAAGTAAATACTTTAGAACTGTTAAATATATAAATAAAGTGAATAAAGTTTAGTGTTCCACAGGGTAGCATTTGCTAATGCACACGAAAAAAAGAACAACCACCTTAACAAAACTGTTGCCAGTTCTTCCATCTTGGGAGTTTTTGTCATGTCTTAAACTAACCTCTTCTCACAGGAAGAGTAGTCTCTGAAAGGGTGCCCATTTTCAAACCAGAATCAAGGACATTTGATTTGCATTATGGGTGTGGCAACTTACATAGAAAGTATTCTCCATCATACAGTAAGTTCCTTGAGAGTAGGGATTATCTCTCACGGTTACATTCCTAGTGCCTACCAGATTCTAGCACAAAGTTTCCTGGCTGACTCAGTCAATAAATATTTTCTGAGATTCTCAATATATTTGGAGTTTAACTAAAGGTAAGAAATTTTTTCTATCTTCCTGCTATTATGTTGAAAGATGATGATTTTAAAATATCTCTATGGAATATTTCTAATAATGACTGTTCACATAGGCATTGAAAGTACGGCAAGCAGATATCACCAGAGAGACCGTTCAGAAAAGTGTCTGTGTTCTAAGCAAGTTGGTAAGAGACCAAATAACTTGTTAATGTGTTTGTTAAAAATTCATGGCAGATTTTTACATGAGAATAAGGCACTATTAGAATAAGAGATTTATGGAAACAGTAATAGATTAAAATTCATTAGGGGCTCTTATTTATTGTCGTGCATCTCCTCTTTCTCTTTGCCTTTCAGCAGTGTTATTCTCATTTGCCCCTCTATCCACAACTAGATAAGACGAAGGAAATCTCCTAGCTAGGTATTCGGAAAAGAGGTTGACACTTGACCAAAATGAGGTAGCTGATATATTTCATTTATCTGTTTTTATTTTGTTTTTAAGACTTCGGGTAAATAATGTATTACTAAAACTCAAAATTATCATAAGCGCTCAGATTTTATTGATGATTTAAAAGTACATGACTCTTGCTATGAAAAATTGTAACCTTAACCTGCTCTTTAAAAACTTAAAATTTGGGGGGCTCTTGGGGTGGCTCAGTGGGTTAAGCGTCTGGCTCTTATTTCAGCTCAGGTCATGATTTCAGAATTACTTGAGATTGAACTCAGGGTGGGGCTCTGCACTCAGCAGGAAGTCAGTCTGGGATTCTCTGTCCCTCTGTTCCTCCCCGTGCTCCTGTGGGCATGCTCTGGACTCTCTAAAAATTAAATAAAATCTTTAAAAAACTCAAAATTTTTGAGGAACAGAAATGACATAATGAATTGTACAATGATGTACTTTAAAATTGTTTCATCTGTGTACAGGTTGATCAGATGCAAGTGTATATTTTAACTTTTATTTTTTGAAGAAAATATATAACATCTCTTATTTTTCATAGCTCTTTGTTAAATCATTTGTAATGTTCCTTTTTTTTTTTTAACTAATGGGATAATAACACCTTTACAAATAACATCAAATGACTAATTCTACATGTAAATATAATCTCCCAAATCTCCTTTATGGGGAGAAAATCTAGATCTCAGTCATATTAATTATCTTATAGCTATATGATTACTGAATACAGACGTTTCTGCATTTAACCTAAATCAAAATGGAGACTCTTTGATTTGCTTAGTCACCAAATGTATGTAGGTTTTAATTATTTCTTCTATATTTCCCAGTTTCTTTCTTTTCTTTCTTTCTTTTTTTTTTTTTTTTTTAAGATTTTATCCATTTGAGAGACAGCTTGGGGAGGGGGTGCAGAAGGAAGAGGGGAGGGAGAAACAGACTCCCCACTGAGCAGGGAACCCAAGACAGGGCTCGATGCCAGGATCCTGAGATCGTGTCCCAAGCTGAAGGCAGTTGCTTAACAGACTGAGCCACCTAGGTGCCCCTGTCTTGTCCAATTTCTTATATCCACAGACAGTTTAAATGTAGTTTGCTTAATATATGTTGAATTTTGCAAAATAGGATTTCTTTGGGCTTTTACTACTAAGTTTAAAAAAAAACCCTAAATAATAATAGTTTTATACTGTGAGACTTAATAATAAGATTTTGAGGATCAGATATTGCTTCCAATATCATAATTTTAAATAGAGGACAAGAATAGACTTCTTAAAAAAAATGGTTGTTAAAAACCCCACTATCAGAACATTGGTAGATTGCACCTAGATAGTTTCCAGAAGGATAGCCTAAAAAGTAGACATCAGTGAATACTTTTTTTATACTGGGCCAGATGATCAAGGTATAGGAGTACCAGATATTAAAGCAAGTGTGACATGCTGAAAGACATCCTGAGTAATCTTTCTTCAAAGAAGAATTATAATAACAGTAAATACCATTCATCAGGTCCCTGTAGGTCAGGTATTAATCCTATACCAGATACTTTTTAGATGTAATTGTCATTTGAATCCTCATATAAAAGCAGTGAGATCTAAGTATTTATTGCTCTTATTTTACAAATAAAGATGAGAGAAAATAGATCTCTCATAAACTTATTATGTGATAAAATTGGGGTGAAAATCTGATTTTAGCTGTCTTTAAACAGCATAAGGGATGGGGGAGCTAGCTCACGCAAAAGCGTTTGGTGGTTCATAGTGATTATAGTCTTTATATATAAAAACATGAAATATATATAAAATATATATTTAAAATATATAAAATGTGACTATACTTTATTTTTTTTAAGATTTTATTTATTTATTTGACAGACAGAGATAACAAGTAGACAGAAAGGCAGGCAGAGAGAGGGGGGGAAGCAGGCTCCCTGCCAAGCAGAGAGCCCGATGGGGGCTTGATCCCAGGACTCTGAGATCATGCCCTGAGCGGAAGGCAGAGGCTTAACCCACTGAGCCACCCACATGCCCATATATTAAATAATTTAGATGGTAATAATATATTAACAGGGATATTGGTGGGGGGAGCTCTTCCGGTATTGTTTTAATTAATTAGAGTATATATACAACATGGTCTCTGCATTCTTAGAAGAACACAGAAATCAGGAAACATCTAGGAAAGAACATTGAAAATAAAAAGGATGGAAATAGTAGAAGAGGGTCTTAAATAAAAATAAGAATTAAGGAATAATTTTGTTGAAGGATGAAAAAGAATATTTTCATAAAGGACACAGACTAGTTGTTCCAAGCCTCTGTAGAATGCAAAAAAGGGAAATGAACTTAGTTTAAGTATGAATGTTCAACTAGATAACAAGAACTGGCCATTATAAGGATGATTAAGTGTCACCACACACCAGCAGAACAGTTCAGAATTAGAATGCTTGAAATTTTGTAATAGCCAGCGTTTAAATGCTTTCCAAGTGCCAGATACTCTGAGTGCTTTCACCTGTGTCACTTAATTCTGGAAACAACCGCATGAGATGTACTGTCTTTTCATATGTCAGTGTTAACATCAGTAAGCAAATGTGAAGAGGTTCTGTGCCCAGGTTATGTCACTGAGTGATAAGAGCAGAAGTGTGTCAGGCACTTTCTGGCAGCAGCCATAGAGCTGGAACAGGTGATTTAACAGCTTTTAGCTGTGAATAATAAAGATACTAAAGTTGAAGTGAGTTTTTCCTCCCTGTTCTTTCAATTACAAAGTTGTAAGATGTCTGTTTGTTACTATTATCAAACTAATAGTATTTTTTTTTCTCTAAGCCTCTCTATGGCTTACTTCAAGCAAAACTTCAGCTCATTACACATGCATATTTTGAAGAGAAGGATTTTTCCCAAATTTCCATTCTAAAGGTAACTATATCCCTCTGTAGATATATTTGGCTGAAAACAGATTCATGAATCAGTTACTCTCATCAGTAATACTGTGAAGATAATCTTGTTAGCTTAAGAAAGACATTCTTCTTTGAAAGTAACATTGACCCTACTATGATCCAGCAATTGCACTACTGGTTATTTATCCAAAGGATACATAAATACAGACTTGAAGGGGTATGTATATCCCAAATGTATTTATAGCAGCATTATCAACAATAGCCAAACTATGGAAAGAGCCAGGTGTCCATTGATTGATGAATGGATAAAGAAGATGTGGTATGAAATCTTGTCATTTGCAATGACATGCATGGAGCTAGAATGTATTATGCCAAGCAAAAGAAGTCAGAGAAAAATACCATATGATTTCACTCATGGTGGAATTTAAGAAGCGAAACAAAAGAACATATGGGAAGGGGAGGGGAAAAAGGGAGAGAGGGAAACAAACCATAAGAGACTCTTAAGGATTGAGAACAAACTGCTGAGGGTTGATGGAGGGAGGTGCGTGGGGGATGGGCTAGATGGGTACCCAGTATTTAGGAGGGCATTTGTTGTGATGAGCACTGGCTATTGTATGTAAATGATGAATCACTGAAATCTTCTAAAACCAATATTGCACTGTATATTAACTAACTAGAATTTAAATAAAAATTTAAAAAGAAAAAAAATCCCTCAAAGATTTGCAGATTGAGAAAAGAAAAGGAAGTAACATTGAAAGGCAAGGATCTGCCCAAAATGTATAGTTGAGATTTATTAAGTTTAACCAAACTGCCTTTAATTAGGAAATAATGACCACAAATGACTATAATTAACATAAGTGTTTCTATTAGTGGATAGTACCTCTTTTGCTATGGCATTGCTTCTCTAAATTTGCTTGTCTTATTAATATACTACACAATGTGCTTATCAGTTTTCTGGTTCCAGTCTCCCAAAGCAAAAAACAAACAAAAAAAAACAGACTACATGACTGTTTTAGCATGTTTTTCTTTGGGCTCCTATGAATGTACAGAACATGGATCTCGCCTGGATTTTAGTGAGTATAGGACAATTAGGTGTTTAGCAAGAAAAGTAGAGGGAACTTAGCCTAGAATCCATACCACCATGTGAGTGAACTCATAAGCCCTAAAATGAAGAGGAAGGGGAGTGCTGGAAACTGGTAAGGTTTCGGAGAGAGACTTCTATTGTTAGTGTCAAAACAAACAGCCTCTGTTAAAGAACCAATTTTTTCCTGGTCATCATACTTCTAATTTAGTGTCTGAAATGATTGTAAAATGTTCTAAGTTGAATCTATTTTATAGGAGCTTTATGAGCATATGAATAGTTCCTTGGGAGGAACTTCATTAGAAGGATCCCAAGTATATCTTGGTAAGTTGCTTTTTTACAAATCAGAAGAAACGCCTTCATTTCTTTACATTTGGTAAACCGAGTTGCATGTAAAACTTCATAATCAAAGTTAAATTTCTGTATGGGATATAAATTTAAATTCTTCAATGTTTGATGTTGCTGATACCTTAAATATCTTCTTTTTATTTCTACTGAGAAAGGTTATAACATAATTGTAGCAGTTTTTAGAACTATTATCCTATAAAGCAAATTTCTGCTTCTCAGAATAATAAGGGAAGTTTTTTCTTTTTCTTATGGTAATGCAGTTCCCTGTTATGACTGCTCAGCTCTTTTCATGCTAAGATTGTTCAAGTTGGGGGTTTTGTTTGATTTATACTGTTTTGGTAATCCAGAATATTCATTGGTATCCAAGGTGCTCAATAGGTACTTGGTAAATATCCTTTCTGTGATGAAAAGCTAATAAAGTAGCCATTAGCCTCATGTGGCTATTTACATTTAGATTAGAATCAATAAAAGTTAAATAAAGGTAAAGAGTCCTTTTGTCAGTATACTTGCTGCATTTCAGATGTTCATTGGCCATGTGTATCTGCGGTGTTGGGCAGTGCGGATGAGAACATTTCTGTTACTGTGATCCTGCTGTGTTTGACTGTTAACAGTTATTTGATAAATGCTGAGCATAAATGTTACATAATCAGATATTATGTAAATATTTTAATATTCCCATGTTCTTACTATTCCTATTTTTACCTACCTTTCCTTTGGTGGGAAGAAACTTTCTTTGACAAAATCCATATGTTGTCATCACAGATTAGCTTTTTTGGTAACATTGCAGGTCTGTCTCCTCGAGATCTTGTGCTTCATTTTCGACACAAGGTATGATACCTTTTATTTAATTTATAATGTTCTAAACCTGTGTTCATTTAACTGAGCATATTCTCTTGCTGCAAGGCTGAATACAGATTGTAGCATACCATATTTTATTTCTTCTAAGACAGTTCTCATAATGATAAAAGTTGAAAATGTTGGTAGAACTGATAGACGTTTTTAAAAATACAGGAATACTGTCTATTTCTGTGCAGAAGAGGATTATTTTTTCTCTTGTCTTTGTAATTTCAGATGTCATGAAATTAGAGTAGAAAGGAACATGTTTTAATTTTACAGAGTAGTTTATATGTTGCTCTGAGAGTGAAAGATTTTCTAATAAAATATCTATACTTATGTCTTGTGATCTTTATTATTAAAGATATGTTGACTGGGACATACACACATTGATCATTCATTTACATACATGTATTGAGTATCTGCTGTGTCAGTGCCCTGGACATCCAATGAATAGTCCCTTCCCTTGAAGGAGCTTGCAGATATTTCAAGGAAAAATAACAATAACTCCTTCCAAAAAGCATAATTTGTTAGAGATTTAAGTGGTTCTTAGTAAATACAAAATTTTAAAATTTTCAGTATAAGTTCATAATTTTCAGTGTAGTTTTAAGCACTGTAGTTAATATTATTGATTAAATGATATATGGTTGTGTTTGAGGAAGGGAAAAAGCAAATGAGTAATAGGCTTGAGTTTCTTATTTTAATACAATATTTTTTCTTTAGGTCTTAATCCTGTTTAAACTAATTCTTCTTGAAAAAAAGGTGAGATTTGAAGGAACGGAATATTTAACATGGGTTGACATTCCTTAAATACTATGTAGAATTAAAACTAATGGTAAAGTATAAATTAAGACTTTTTTGCCTGTCATATTTTGGTAAACTGAAGCACATATTCTTGTTTACTACCACAGAAGTATAAATTTGTTTAGTCTTCTCTGGGGCAGTTTGACATTAACCAATTTAAACAGACTTAAATAATAGTGAAATGATGTATTAGGTTACTGCAGACTTCATGGCTGATTGATTGAATGGTTCTACTGTATAATTAACTATTGAGATTTTTTTCCATCTCTTTGCTCCACAGTCTGCAGTGCTAGCTTTATCCTGCGCCTGGTGTCCCTTGTAGTGTAGGTTAACTGCCAACAGTAATTGGTCTGTATGCTCTCTCACTTATAACTGGTGGTAGAGGGGTGTCTGGGTGGCTCAGTCAGTTGAGTCTTAGACTCTTGGTTTTGGCTCAGGTCATGATCTCAGGATTGTGAGATCCAGCCCTGGGTCAGGCTCCTTCCTGAGTGGGGAGTCTGCTTGAGAGGCTCTTCCACTGCCCCTCCCCCCACTGGTGCACGTGCACTCTCCCTCTCTCAAATAAATAAATAAATTGGGGTGCCTGGGTGGGCTAAGTCAGTTGAACAGCCGACCACAGTTAAGTGGTCAGCTTTTGATTTCGGCTCAGATTGTAATTGCAAGGTTGGGGGATCCAGTGCCCCTATTGGGCTCTGTGCTTAGCACAGGAAGTCTGCTTGTCCCTCTCTCCCCCCCTGCCTTTGTACCTCCCCCTGCTTGCTAGCATGCTCGCTCGCTCGCTCGCTCTCTAAAATGAATAAAACCTTCAATCAGTGAAATCTAAAAACAACAATAATAATTGGTGTTGGTGGAAGAAAAAATACCTATTCCCAAACCGTTTAATAAGAATCTTCCTTTGCTGTTTGTTTAGACCTATAAGCCATGTACCTGAAGTGACAAATAATTGTTGCCAAAGAAATACATATACTTTAAAAAAAAAAAAAAAGGTACATATACTAATTGGTTTAAACTGCTTCCAGGCCATTCTCTAGTACAAAGAGATTGGATTGTCATGATTTTAGACCAAGGGTGTACAAACTAGGCCCCAGGGCCAAATCTGGCCCACCATCTATTTTTATTTTGGAACACGGTTATTCCCATTCTTCTACTTCCTGCTTATGGCTGCTTTTGCCCTATAGTGGCAAAGTTGAGTAGTTGTGACAGAGACCATATATATCACCTGCACAGGAAGAATTCCTAATATTTGACCCTTTATAGAAAAAGTTTGCTGACCTCTGGTTTAGACTAATCAGGAGCTGCCCTTGGATCTGTGGCCAGTTTTTTATAGCATATTACTGTGCTAAGTGGAGTAGGGGTGGAATGGATCTTGGAAAGTCAGCCATTTATAATGTCCAGTATGGTTTGTTACCTTAAAAATGTTTATTCCTTTGGTCCAGTAGTTCTTCTTTTAGAGATTTTCCAGAATTAATGTGAGTTGGACACAAAGCTCCATCTAAGACATTCTGTCACAGAATAATTTATAATAATGAGTAATCAGTGAATAAGTACTGGTTCATCTTGTATATTGTGTATGATTCCAAATGACTAAAGAGATTCTGAGAATTTTTTTATTATAAAGATGTTTCATTGAATGTTATGTGAAAGTTTGTCCAAGTACATATCAAGCCCATGATCCCAATTTTATAAATTAATATATATTCATTAAAAAGAGACTGGAGAGTGCCTGGGTGGCTCAGCTGGTTAAGCGACTGCCTTCAGCTCAGGTCATGATCCTGGAGTCCCAGGATTGAGTCCCACATCCGGCTCCCTGCTCGGCAGGGAGTCTGCTTCTCTTGCTGACCTTTCTGCTCTCATGTTCTCTCTCTCTCTCATTCTCTGTCTCTCTCTCTCAAATAAATTAAAAAAATCTTTTAAAAAAATAAAAAGAGACTGGAAGGAAAGACATGAGCAATTTGGTGAGAATATAGGTTATATTTTTATTTATTCAAGATATATTTATTTATTTATTTAAAGTATGAGCAGGGGAGAAGGGCAGAAGGAGAGGGGGAGAGGAAAGAATCTCAAGCACACTCCGCACTGAGCTCAGAGCCCGACAAAGGGCTCGATCTCAGGACCCTAAGATTTCTGAGCAGAAATCAAGAGTTACACTTAACTGATTGAGCCACCCAAGTGAGCCTAGATTATATTTTTAAGAAGGAAATCCTTTGCTGGTTTTGTCTAATGAGTATGTATTTCTTCTTCAAAGAGAAAAAAGGTAATTTTTAAAATGATGAATCTAACATACTATACGTGCAATGTTTTAACTTTTTTTTTTAAGAGTTTATTTATTTATTTGACAGAGAGAGATCACAAGTAGGCAGAGAGGCAGGCAGAGAGAGAGAGGAAGGGAAGCAGGCTCCCCACTGAGCAGAGAGGCTGATGCGGGGCTCGATCCCAGGACCCTGAGACCATGACCTGAGCCGAAGGCAGAGGCTTAACCCACTGAGCCACCCAGGCACCCCAATGTTTTAACTTTTTAAAAATGTTTTTAATTATTGTAAAATACATAAAACACATAATTTATCATCTTAACCAGTTTTTAGTATATAGTTGAGTGGCATTAAGTACATTCACTGTGTTCTATCATTACCATCCATTCACAATCTCTTCATTATGCAAAACTAGAACTGTACTCATTAAACAGTAACTTCCCATTTTTCCCTCTCCATTGACAGTGACCCTTCTACTTACTGTTTCTATGAATTTGGCTAGTCTGAGTTCCTTATAAAAGTGAAATCATGCTGTTTTTGTCTTTTTGTGACTGGCTTCTTCACTAAGCATAGTGTCCTCAAGGCTCATCCCTGTATAACATGTGTCAGAATTCCCCTCCTTTTAAAAAATGGCTGAGCAAGGGCAGCTGGGTGGCTCAGTGGGTTAAAGCCTCTGCATCTGGTTCAGGTCATGATCTCAGGGTCCTGGGATTGAGCCCCGTATCGGGCTCTCTGCTCAGCAGGGAGCCTGCTTCCCTTCCTCTCTCTCTGCCTGCCTCTCTGCCTGCTTGTGATCTCTGTCTGTCAAATAAATAAGTAAAATCCTCTAAAAAAAATAAAAAGGGCTGAGTAATAGCCATTGTATGTACATACCATATTTTGTTTATCTGTTTGCCCTCTGAGGGACACTTGGGTTGCTTCCACCTTTTGGCTCTCATGAAAAATGTTACTATGAATGTTGGTATGCATACATTTCTTCAAAACCCTGCTTCCAGTTCTTTTGGGTATAGACCTGGAAGTGGTATTGCGGGGCCAGATGGTAATTCTATTTTCATTTTTTTTTGAGTAACCACCATACTGTTTTCCATAATGGCTGCAACCATTTTATATTCCTGTCAGCAGTATACAAGGATTCCAGTGTCTCTACATTCTTACCAACACTTGTTATTTTTTAGTTTTTTGATCGTAACCATCCTAATAGGTGTGAGGTGGTATCTCCTGTTTGATTTGCATTTCCCTAATGGTTAGTAATGTTAAGCACCTTTTCATATGCTTATTGGTCATTTGTGTACTTTCTTTGAAGAAATGTCTGTTCAAGTCCTTTGCCCATTTTAATCAGGTTTTTTGGTGGTGTTTTTTTGTTTTTTTGTTTGTTTCTTTACTTGTTGAGTTGTAGGTTTCAAACTTTGTTATTGCTGTTGATAATAAAAAGTATTTTGCATTGCAACCCAGGGCACACATGGGTATATGTATCTAAAACAAAAATCCTCCAAAATAGTACTTAGCCTAGCTACATGTAGGGCATTTATGATCATATAACTTTATCTAATGTGGCAAATCACAGATACACTCTTTTTATATTGAATTGATGAAATAAGGATGTCCTTTAATGCAACATTTTGTTTTTCTGTATTTGGAAAGCACTCCTTAAATAAGATCATCTGTAAGGAAAGCATAGACAATTGTGGGTGCTCTCTTCTCTCAAATAGCACTTCTGTGTCACTGAATGATTTAATTGTTTAAAAAAAAAAAACTCGCCTAAGCAAATCTTTGCTTGTTTTTTTTCCAACTAATTTAATGATTACCAAATGTTGCTTTTAAACATCTAATCCTGGGGCGCCTGGGTGGCTCAGTAGATTAAAGCCTCTGCCTTCGGCTCAGGTCATGATCCCAGGGTCTTGGGATCGAGCCCCACATCGGGCTCTCTGCTCGGCAGGAAGCCTGCTTCCTCCTCTCTCTCTGCCTGCCTCTCTGCCTACTTGTGATCTCTCTCTGTCAAATAAATAAATAAAATCTTTAAAAAAAAATAAAATAAAAATAGACATCTAATCCTGTTTCTGATTTTTATCTCAAGTTTTACTCTGAAAAATGTCAAACCTACAGAAAAGTTGAAAAAACACTGTAATGAACTTTTACACACTTGATCAATATTGACGATTAACATTTTGCCACTTTTGCATTATATTGCTTTGTGTATGTTCATTCCCACCTTGCTGCCAATCCTAATAATTTTAAAGTCATGGTACTTTACTCCTAAAAACTTTAAGCTAGGTTTCTTTTTTTTCCTTTTTCTTTTAAAGATTTGATTGATTTATTTGAGAGTGAAAGACGGGAACAACTGAGGAGAAGCAGGCCCCCCGCTGAGCAGGGAGTCTGACAAGGGGCTCCGTCCCAGGACCCCAGGATCAAGACCTGAGCTGAAGGCAGATGCTTAACCCACTGAGCCACTCGGGCACCCCAGGATGTATTTCTTAAGAATAGAATATATTCGGGCGCCTGGGTGGCTCAGTGGATTAAAAAGCCTCTGCCTATGGCTCTGGTTGTGGTCCCAGGGTCCTGGGATCAAGCCCCGCATGGGGCTCTCTGCTCAGCGGGGAGCCTGCTTCCCTTCCTCTCTCTCTGCCTGCCTTTCTGCCTGCTTGTGATCTCTGTCTGTCTAATGGATAAATAAAATCCTAAAAAAAAAAAGTATATTTCCATATAACCAAAATACCGTTTTCACATTCAAGAAATGCAGTCCATTTTCAAATTTCCTCAGATGTTATAATAATGTCCTATAAACTGGTTGTTTCTAGGGAGCCAAGCATCATGTTTGCCTTATAATTTTCTTTAATCCTTTAATCTCAAACAGCTTTACCACCTTGCTCTTTTTTTGGTTTCTTTTTGTTTTTCATGGCATTGGCTTTTTTTTTTTTTTTTTAAAGAATCCTATTAGATTTGTCTGATTATTTTCTTTTGACTAGTTTCAGATTAAACTTGTGTGGCAAGCGTACTATACAGGTGTGTCCTTCTCAGAGTTATCACACCAGGATATCCATAACTATTTGTAGTATTATTGGTAATGGAAAACTTGATCATTTGATTAAAGTGGTAATCCCCAGATTTCTTCATAATGAGGTACTTGTGTTTCCCTTTGCCACTAATAGCTAATCTGTGGGATGGTAAATTTGAAGCTATGTGAATATCCTGTTGCCCAGCAACCTTTCACATTAGTTTTCGTTTCCATTGGTAATTTTCAACTGAATCATGGTAGGTGCTGCGTGATTTCTTTGATTCTTTCATTAATGCTGTCTTAGCTGTTATCCTTCTATAAAGAAGAATTTTTCCTTCTCTATCTCTCCCCCCCCCTTTTTTTATGTTGTAGATTCATGGATTTTCTAATTTAATCTTGACTTAATCCATTTCAGGTTCTCTTTTATATTTCTCCAGTGAATAAATTGGTGGGTGCCCTGATGACTGTGTTATCCCTTTTTCCAGGTAAGAGGGTAACGGTATCTACTCTTTCTTTAGTTTAACTTTCATTAGAAATTTTTCAGTGCTAAAATTTTTAAGAATAAACTTGCTAGGGATAACATTTTTATTTTGACATGATTTTCTTTTGACATTGGGTTTCTCTTATATGAGATTTTTCTTTTCTTTTTTTTTTTTTTTAATTAAAATGTGTGCAAGCAGAACTTACTAAAATTTTTATAGGAGAGTTCTACTGTTTAGAATGGAATATGCAACTCTTATCTTTTCCCACTTGATTGAAGCCAAGCTGTTCTCCAATATTGTATGTCGTAGGCATGATTGAACATGGTCTCAGTGACTGTTCTCAGTACAGACCCCGAAAGAGTATGTCTGAAGATGCTGGGCTTCACGAAAATAATCACCCTGCAGATGATTTTGTTTCTATGTCTGTTCCTGACATTTCAAATACCAACTCAGGAACTGTTAAGAAAATCATGACAGGAAACCACGGAGGAGATGCTGTCATTAAGACCGAAGAACCATTGCTCCAAGTAGAAGATGACAGCAGCAAAGGACAGGAACCCAATGAAACCAGTCAATATTTGAAACCTCCTTCTCGCCCATCTCCAGAGTCTTCAGAAAGTGACTGGGAGACCTTGGATCCTAGCATCTTAGAGGACCCTACCTTGAAAGAAAGGGAACAGGGGTCAGAACAGACAAACTCATTTCCAAAGGAGTCTGTGCCCTCAGACAGTCCTCCAATTACTGTACAACCTCAAGCTAATACAGGCCAGGTGGTACTGATACCAGGGCTAATTTCTGGTTTGGAAGAAGACCAATATGGCATGCCCCTGGCCATCTTCACAAAGGTAAAGTTTAGTGTGTGTGTGTGTGTTTGTTTAAGATTTATTTGTTAGAGAGTGCACACAGGAATGGAGAGATGGCTAGAGAGAGAGAGGAAGAGAGAATCTCAAGCAGGCTTTCCACTGAGCCAGGAGCCCAGTGTAGGGCACAATCTCACAACCCTGAGATCGTGACCAGAGCTGAAATCAAGAATCGGACGCTTAACCAACTGAGCCACCCAGATGCCCCTAGTGTTCCTCCTTACTAAGGCCCTTAAAGAATCTGACCACCATTTTTTTTTTAAATTTTAAAATTTGTTTTTCTGAGAGAGAGAGAGTAGGGGGAGGGGCAGAGGGAGATAATGTTCAAGTAGACTCCCTGCTGAGTGGCCTGAGTCAACCAAGACTTGGACGCTTAACTGACCGAGCCACCCAGGTGTCCCCAACAACCCTTTTAGAATTTAACTTATAGTGTTGAACACATTTTCAGGTCTAAAAATTTTCCTTCAAACTGTAAAATACATAATGTATAGTGCTGTGGTTATCTGTGACCTTAGTGTCACATATGCCAGGTGCCATGCTAAGTTCTAAATTCTATTTCTGTGATCTATTTCTGTGATCTTGCAGTCTACCATGAAAGACAGATACATCTTTCTGGTAACTTGGGCAAAGTTCTGTGGTTTTCTCTAAATACTGTCCTTTATGCATGAAATAAGACTATGTGGAAAAGAAAGATGGGTAGTGTGACTGGAGTATGTATTCCTTCCTCTATAATAAATTCTTCCTGTGTTTATCTAGCTTTATAAATAAGTATTTGCCCCAAGTCAGTATTGCTGAATGGTTAGTAGAGAATGCTTTGTTCATTTCATGGCCTGCTGGGGGATTCTGAAATTATCTTAATTTGCTTTATGACTGAAATAATGAAGTTTCTTTTCTTTCTTTTGTTCTTTCTTTCAAGATTTTATTTATTTGAGAGAGAGAGACACACACACACACACACACAGCAAGAGAAGGAACACAAGCAGGGAGAGTGATAGAGGGAGAAGCAGGCTTCTTGCTGAGCTGGGACCCTGATGTGGGGCTCGATCCCATGACCCTGAGGTTATGACTTGAACCAAAACCTGGAGTCAGATGCTCAACCAACTGAGCTACTGAGGTGCCCCAGGTTTTTTGTTTTTTTGTTTTTTGTTTTTTGTTTTTTTAAAGTACATGTATCTAGTACCTTCAGTGTTTTAAATATATAATTGCCTCCATAAGAAGATCACTTAATTTAGAAATCTTAATATCAGTTTGTAACTTTTTAAGTAAAACAATAAATTTATGAAAAAATTAAAAATATATGTCGTTAGAAACCAGATTTTTTTTATCTGCCACATGTATTAATCTCCTTTAAGTATCGCTTCTGAGTTTATATTTGGTTTGCTTGCTTGCAGCTTTTCCCATTTTCAAATTTAGGTTATCAAAGATACCTTTACTGGCCAGCCAAAAATTATGAATCTTATTTAAGTGGAACCACAGGAGCGCCTTGGTGGCTCAGTCATTAAATGTCTGTCTTTGGCTCAGGTCATGATCCCAGGGTCCTGGACTCAAGCCCCACATCGGGCTCCCTGCTCGGTGGGAAGCCTGCTTCTCCCTTTCACATTCCCTCTGCTTGGGTTCCCTCTTTCACTGTGTCTCTGTCAAATAAATAAAATTATTTATTTATATGTGTGTGTGTGTGTGTGTGTGTGTGTGTGTGTAACCACAAATTTTTTTTTCTCTTGACATTGTTTTTAGTTTCAGTCATGTTTTTGCATGATACTGCATTTTATTATTCTTATGTAGTTTTTCATTTTTAGCTGTTTTGAAGCTTATCAGTTGTGTGGACAACCGCATTGTTGCCAATTTCTGGCTATACAAATAATGCTGCTATGAAATTCTTTTTTTTTTCTTTTTTAATTTTTTCAGTGTTCCAAGATTCACTGGTTATGCACCATACCCAGTGCTCCATGCAATATGTGCCCTCCTTAATACCTACCACCAGTGTCACTCATCCTCCCACCCCTCTCCCCTCCAAAACCCTCAGTTTGTTCTGAGTCCACAGTCTTCCATGATTCGTCTCCCGCTCCAATTTACCCCCAATTCACTTTCCCCTTCCTTCTCCTAATGTCCTCCATGTTATTCGTTATGCTTCACACGTAAGTGAAACCATATGATAATTGACTTTCTCTGCTTGACTTATTTCAGTCAGCATAATCTCCTCCAGTCCCATCCATGTACAAAAGTTGGGCATTCATCCTTTCTGATGGTGGCATATTATTCCATTGTATAAATGGACCATATCTTCTTTATCCATTCATCTAAAGAAGCTCTGAAATTCTTTTTCAGAAATCTTGCTAGACACATGCCAGAGTTTGTAGAGCATTCAGTACCTAAAAGCAGGAATACTGGATCATGTGGAATGAGTGCTTTCAGCTTAACTAAAATTCCCAGTTGTTTACTGAAGCGGTTCTGAGAATTTCCACCATTCCCACAACAGGGAACTGCTCTGCATTCTTACCAACACTTGATATTGTCAGACTTTTTAATATTTAGCCAATCTGACAGTATTTTGTAGTTCTTGGTTTGCATTTTTTTCAATAATTATTGTTGAGGGGCGCCTGGGTGGCTCAGTTGGTTGGGCGTCTGCCTTTGGCTTAGGTCATGATATCAGGGTCCTGGGATCGAGCCCCACTCTCTGCTCAGCTGAGAGTCCGCTTCTCCTGTCCCCCTGCCTATCACTTTGCCTACTTGTGCTCTCTGTCAAATAAATAAAAATCTTTTTAAAAAATTATTATTGTTAAGATTGAACATCTTTCCTATTCTTATTAACCATTCAGATTCCCCCTTGTGTGGTATTTTTTCAAAACTACTGGATTGTCCTCGTCACTGATTTGAGGGACTTCATATATTCTAAATACCCTTTTGTTTATCATTTTTTACTTTATGGTTAGTGCCTTGGAGGTCTTATTTAAGGAGCCCCCTCTACCTCGGTGTACTAGGTTATCTCTTAAAGCTATATAGCTTTGACTTTCACAGTTCGGTTTTTATTAACTGGAACTAATCTCTGTATGTTTGAGGAAGGAGTCTTTCTGGACTTTTTCTTGTTGTTTCATTGGTACTGTAGATTTATTTGTCCATCCCTGGGGCAGTTCCCCCCGTAAGTATATCCTGTCAGGCAGAAAAAAGGCTTTGCCTCTTACTATTGATTTGTAAACATTTCTTAGCCCTTTTCATTTCCACATCAATTTTAGGATTAATTTAAGTTCTCAAACAGGTTGAGATTTTGGTAGGGATTACCTTTAAACTCTGGATAACTTGTGGAGAGAAGGGACATCCCTGTAACAGGGAGGCTTCCAGTTCATGAGCATGTTTATCATCCCTGACCAGAGGAGAGCTGAGAAAATGGCATCCAGTCCTAATCACACACTACCCCCTTCCAGGTCACAAGAGAGAAGGCCCACTGTGTGCTTTTGCAGCTCTTTAGCAAATTAGCTCGTGACAATTTTGCTAGGTTTACCAAGCTGAGGTGTGGAGTTTTTGTTTTTTAGTTGTGGTTAAAAAAAATCCATGTGTGTGTATAAAATTTACTCTGTTTATCTCTTTTTTAAAGGGGGGAGGGGCAGAAGGAGAGGGAGAGAGAGAATTTCAAGCAGACTCCACATGCAGTCTGTAGCCAGATGCAGAGCTATGTCTCCTGACCCTGAGATCATGACCCGAACCTAAAGCAAGAGTCAGCCGTTTAACTGACTGGGTCAGCCAGGCACCCTGCCCTGTGTACCATATTTAAGTGTGCAGTTTAGTAGTGTTAAGTTAATTCACATCGGTGTACTGTAGATCTCCAGAAATTTCTCATCTTGAACTGAAACTCTATACCCATTAAACAATAACTCCCCATTCCCCCAACCCCTGCCCACCACCCTTTTCGTTTCTATGAATTTAACTACTCTAACACCTTTTTAAGTGGAGTCATACATTGTTAATCTTTTTGTGACTGGCCTATTTAACTTAACATAATGTTCTCAGGCTTCATCCATGCTGTAACATATGTCATCATTTCCATGCTTTTCAAGGCTGAATAATAATCTGGTGTACGTATATATCACACTTTGTTTATCCATTCATCTGTCAGTGGACATTTGGGTTGCTTCCACGCTTTGGCTATTGGCGAATGCTGCTGCTTTGAACATGGATGTGCAGATACTGTTTCAGGCCCTTTTTGGTGGTTATTTTTTTGTTGTGTTGTTTTCTTTGTTTATTTGGGTTTTTTGGTGTTTTTTTTTTTACTCTTACACTACAGCTCCAAATATGGAAATTAAAGTACCCTAGAAAAGTGAAAAGTCAGAAGTAAGCTTGGGTATGGAGGCTGTTTTATGTGAAAGGACCTGAGCTCTTGCTGCTATAATACAATAGGGAACTTTAAACAATTTAGGAAAAATAGATCATCATTAAAAGTATGACACAGGGCACCTGGATGGCTTTCGGTTGGGTGTCTGCCTTCGGCTCTTGAGGGTCATGATCCCGGGGTCCTGGGATCAAGCCCCGCATTGAGCTCTCTGCTCAATGGGGTTCTGCTTCTCCCTCTCCCCCCACCCCTACCCCGGCTCATGCTTTCTCTCTCTCTCTCTCTCAAATGAATAAATAGAAATCTTTTATATATATATATATATAAATATATAAATATATATATATATATATATGTACATATATACACACACACTACAATTTTTTAGAAGTAATTGACATAATTTTAAGGCCATTTTGAACTCTTAATTTTATAAATATGTAATACTTTCACATGGCTCAATATTCAAAAGATTCTAAAGCATCTATAAAAAAGTCTCCCTCTCATTCCATCCCCTACTATTCAGGTGCCCTCTCCTCCAGTGGTCACCAGCATTATCAGTGTCTTTCTTTGGGGGTATTTTATGCATACATAAATGTGTAGATATTTCCCCCTCCTTTTATATACAAAATAGCAGACTATTCCTTACTTTTTTTTTTTTTTTTTTTAAGTTTTATTTATTTATCTGCCAGAAAGAGCACAGGCAGTGGGGGAGCAGCAGGCAGTGGGAGAAGAAGGCTTCCCACTGAGCAGGGAGCCAGATTCGGGACTCAGTCCCAGCACTTTGGGATCATGACCTGAGCTGAAGGCAGGCGCTTAACCAACTGAGCCACCCAGACATCCCTCCTCACTTTTATACCTTTAATCTTTCTTACCAAATATTCCTTGGAAGTGAATTTCTCCCACTTTATAGCTGCCAGATGTTCCATTGTGCAGACGAGTGATTTATTCAGTTTCCCGCTTATGAGTAGTTAGGGTTCCAGTCTTTCACTATAATAAACAATGCTGCAATAAATAACTACAGATCTCACATGTGAGCAGTTGTACCTGGATAAATTATAAGTAGAATGCTGGTCAAAGAGCATATGTATAGTTTTTTAGGGAATGTACTTTTGTATAATTTTTTAAAAAGTGTTTATTGATGTTTAAAAAACAAACTTCTGGGGCGCCTGGGTGGCTCAGTTGGTTGGGCGACTGCCTTCAGCTCAGGTCATGATCCTGGAGTCCTGGGATCGAGTCCTGCATCAGGCTCTCTGCTCAGCAGGGAGTCTGCTTCTCCCACTGACCTTTCTCCTCTCATGCTCGCTCGCTCTCTCTCTCTCTCTCTCTCTCACTCACACACACAAATGAATCAATAAAATCTTTTAAAAAAAAAACACTTCTTTGTTTTCATGCTATTATATAAAGAGCCTTCAACATTATAATATTTATGTTTGGAAATAGGTAACTGGGGACAAGGGGAGTCTGTTGTTTTTCAATACGTAGCTCACAAAGTAAAGCATGAACCCTGAGCCTTAAAGCCACTGAGTGATGTTAAATGAGGAGCCCAGGTCCTTTCAGCCTTTAATCCCAAGAGGGGCGTTGATTGAGAAGCACTGTATTGAGTATCTCTAATGCATAGACATGGGTTTATTTTTGCTGCCTCTGTTAGTTAGCATTTTATTGAACAGAGAAAGATATTGTCAAGAAAAAGAATAAAATCAGGTTACTAAACCTGTCTTCCAACTTTTGGAAGTCTCCTCTCCCGTATTAAGTATTTATTTAACAACCACCTGTTAGGTACAATGCATGTTCTAGGATACAGTGAAGAACATGAAGTAGCAAAAGAGATGTCTCCTCCTATAGTCAGAGATTTGTCTCATAATATTAGTAACACATCATCCAGATAAAGCTCTCTAGCTCAGTGCCTTTGGTTCTTTTTTTTTTTTTTTTTTTACAGTGAGAAGAAGTAAGTAATATTGTCACAGGACTTGAGATTGAAAACAAGTTCAGGGGTTTAACAAGTGTGCCCTCCTCGCTGCATATACAAGTTGTGCCACTTACTGGAAATCTGTCTTAATTTAGAATCTTCCAGCAGAAGATTCTTCCAGCCATATCCTCCTTCATTGCATCTTTGAAGTGTTAACACCTTTATTCTCAGGAAATATGCTGCTTTTTGTCCACTTAATTGCCAGCTGTGGTTTGGCAGTTCAGCTATCATTTTCAGGGCAGTATTTTTAAATACAGTTCAAATAGAAGTTAATTAAATATACAACTGTTGCTAGTGTCTTTTTTTTTTTGTTTTGCCTTAAACATGTAAGAGCAAATATCTTGAAATATTTGTGCATGATTTCTAACAATAGGGCAATAAAACAAATGCCATTTGGTATTCTCATAACAATATGTTGGTGATTATGTGTTTTCAAATTTTTCTGGAAGAACTAACAGCTTTCTGCTAGATAGCATACTATTTCATGGGCTTAAAATGTCATTTCACAAATGAAAAAGTCCAGTTCCTTAGTTACTGTGGAAGCTTTTAAGCTGACCTGAGAATAAAATAAAGTAAGGGTGCCTGGGTGGCTCAGTGGTTAAGCTGCTGCCTTCGGCTCAGGTCATGATCTCAGGGTCCTGGGATCGAGTCCCGCATGAGGCTCTCTGCTCAGCGGGGAGTCTGCTTCCCTCTCTCTCTCTCTCTCTACCTACCTCTCTGCGTACTTGTGATCTCTCTCTGTCAAATAAATAAATAAAATCTTAAAAAAATAATAATAAAGTAAGACAATTTTTTTTTGCATTGTTTTATTTTTTATAAACATGTATTTTTTTTTCCCCAGGGATGCAGGTCTGTGAATCTCCAGGTTTACACACTTCACAGCACTCACCATAGCACATACCCTACCCAATGTCCATAACCCCACCCCCCCTCCCATCCCCCCTCCCCCTAGCAACCCTCAGTTTGTTTTGTGAGATTAAGAGTCACCTATGGTTTATCTCCCTCCCAATCCCATCTTGCTTCATTTACTCTTCTCCTACCCCCTTAACCCCCCATGTTGCATCTCCTCTCCCTCATATCAGGGAGATCATATGATAGTTGTCTTTCTCTGATTGACTTATTTCGCTAAGCATGATACCCTCTAGTTCCATCCACGTTGTCGCAAATGGCAAGATTTCATTTCTTTTGATGGCTGCATAGTATTCCATTGTGTATATATACCACATCTTCTTTATCCATTCGTCTGTTGATGGACATCTAGGTTCTTTCCATAGTTTGGCTATTGTAGACATTGCTGCTATAAACATTCGGGTGCACGTGCCCCTTCGGATCACTACGTTTGTATCTTTAGGGTAAATACCCAGCAGTGCAATTGCTGGGTCATAGGGTAGTTCTATTTTCAACATTTTGAGGAACCTCCATGCTGTTTTCCAGAGTGGTTGCACCAGCTTGCATTCCCACCAGCAGTGTAGGAGGGTTCCCCTTTCTCCTCATCCTCGCCAGCATCTGTCATTTCCGGACTTGTTAATTTTAGCCATTCTGACTGGTATGAGGTGGTATCTCATTGTGGTTTTGATTTGTATTTCCCTGATGCCGAAAGTAAGACAATTTTAATGTTAGACCACCACTCATGGAAAAGAGAAGCAATTAACTGGCGTAGTCAAAGCATGAGGTTTCCCTGGAATAGTACTGAAGTGAGTCAGAGATGGACTGTACTAGAGATGGTACGGCAGTGGGCAGGGTTCAGAAGTTGAGAGAGCCGCGTGGCTGTCCGTTACTTTCCTGATGCTGTCTCTCACTCTTGTGATTCTTAGGGATATCTGTGTTTGCCTTACATGGCATTGCAGCAGCATCATCTTCTCTCCGATGTCACCGTCCGTGGATTCGTTGCTGGGGCTACTAACATCCTTTTCCGCCAGCAGAAGCACCTCAGTGATGCCATTGTGGAGGTGGGCTTAAGTATGAGCAGTGTCCTTGACACTGCTGGTCCTTGTTTTTTTTTTTTTCTTAACTGGAATTCTGACAGCATAGGAGTAACACTAATAAAGGTAAAAATTCCTGTGCCAGGCATTCTGTGCACCTTAGGTATAGTAACTGATGTAATTCTAATAGCCTGTGAGATAGGCATTGTTGCTTTTCCTATCTTACACGTGTGGAAGCTAAGGAGCAGAGAGTTCAAACGGCTAGTAATTGGGTGAGCCAGGTTGCAAGCCAGACAGTCTGGTCCTACTAAGATCTCATAATTAAAATGTGTTTATTGTTTAAATACTTTTAGCCCCTTTAATATGTTCCTGATATCAGGAGGAAGGCGCTACAGATAAATATTTGATATCAACTGATAAAAATTTAGATCGTGTTTAGTTTTACAATAGACGTAATTAAAAAAAGGAAATTTTACCCATCCTAGGTTTTTATAGTTTCTAGTCAAAAGTACCAGAACATGCTTTGTCAGAAAATGTTTCTAGTATCACAAATGAAAAATCTGGGATCCCAATTTTGAGGAATTAAAATAGGTCGATACCTTCCAAGGCAGAGGATACAGATGGAGGGACCACACAGTTGTCTCAACATTATTGGTTACGTTCTAGTTCTGAAGTTGTTTGGATATGTGTATATTACTTCAAAACTAACCTGTATGTTACATACTTCTCTTTGTATATCAAATATTACATAATAATATTCCAAAGTATCTGGGTACTTAAGAATTTTTAGGAATTGCACTTATTAATTGTATTCATTTCTGGTTGTGTGACGAAGGTGATTTTTACTCTACATTACTGTTTTCCAAGATATTTACAATCAACGAGTTACTTTTATAATTCAAAATAAAATGTGCATATATTTTCTAAAAAGAAAATGAGGATTTCTTAAATAGAGAAAGAAAAAAACTTCAGTGTAAAAACCTGTTTCTTTCTTAGCCTCACTTTTTGAGAATGCTGTTATTCATATTTTTTATTTCCAGCTTCAACTTCCCAGTAGTTACTCTTTAAAGTATGGCATGGATGTCCACGTGAATGCCCAGACTCTGACTTGTACCTGGGTACCCTCTAGGTAGAAGAAGCTCTGATCCAGATCCATGATCCAGAACTCAGGAAGCTGCTTAACCCAACCACCGCAGACCTCAGGTTCGCAGATTACTTAGTGAGGCACGTGACAGAGAACCGGGATGATGTCTTCCTGGATGGCACAGGCTGGGAGGGAGGTGACGAGTGGATCCGAGCCCAGTTTGCAGTCTACATCCACGCACTCCTGGCTGCCACACTGCAGTTAGGTAAGGAGCACAGCTGCTTTTTCCTTTTGTAATCTTTATGAGGTTTTGAATTGCATAAGGAAAACAATTTCATTATAAAATTATCTGTTACTCCTTCACACAGAGATAACTGCTATTAGCATTTTGAGTATTTTATAACCTTCCAGACCTTTTTCTATGCATAGGTGTTGGATTTTAGTTTTGTGGTATTTGTGGTGATCTTTTACAAAAATGGATCCTATTCCAGATATTTTTTGAAACTGATGTTTATGTTTCTCTTACAAAGAAAAACTATCAAGACAGTAAAAGCAGGTCACTTTTACATGGCTGCTTAGGACCATGTGGAAAGAAGGATGTGTCAGTATCTGGGGGCTGTTTATAAACATTGCTTACATGTTTTTAAGATATGTAAAGGGAGAAAAGAAATATGAAAGAAATCACTGGAAATCACATTCCGAGTGATTAAACCTTCAGATTTTCCATTCTGAGAAATCCTGTTTCTATTAAATAGTTAAAATAGAGCAGGTGAAGGTAGACCTACTCCTGTATTAAAACCATTTCATTTCCATAGGGAAAGAAATCTATACTAAAAAGAGAAAATGAAGCTCTACAGTGAGCTTTTGCACATGGTTGCCTACCACCGTGGACATGTAGCAAATACTTAGTAGGTGGTGGTTGTTGTTGTTCCTGTTAAATTGTTAAGCTTCTGGTTTTCCTTTTTTTTAATTAACCACTATTTGGGGGAAGTTATTAAAAATGTGGTGAAATACGCATAACCTAAAATTTACCATTGTAGCCGTCTGTAAGTATGTAATTCCACAGTAGCGGTGTGTTTACACTGTCCCATCAGTGCTGTGCCCTCCCAGGTTAGTTCTTCATGAAGTGTGTGTGGCATTTGAAATCAAGGCTTTGGGTGTGTGCTTCGTCTGTAAAGGAAAGCCCTGGAGCAACTCCTTATTTGTTAATAGGATATTTTTAAATATCTGCCTCTTCTACAGATGTAACAGCTGAGACACCAAGATTAAATGCTCTAGTTCAGAATCATTCAGTAATCTAAGAAGGAAACCCCAGTCTCCACCAGTCATGTTAGCTTCATGAGTAATTTACTTTTTAAACCTAATTGCCTAGGTAGCTATAAATGCTGAGTAATAACAGTAACTGGGTGTTTTTTTTTGTTTTTTTGTTTTTTTGTTTTTTGCATATGTGCAGGGACCTGTTTTGTTTTGAACACTTTATTTCTACTAACTCATTTCATCTTCAACAACAATTCTGGAGGTAGAGAGGTAGAGACCATGGCCTCTTCATTTTACAGGAGAGGCATTGAGGCATTGGTAAGGTTAAATAGCTTACTCATCATCCCTCTGGTGGAGGCTGAGCTGTGAATCAAACTCGTATAATCTGGCTCAGGCCCATGCTGCTGTTCAAAGGAGATTCAGCCCAGGGAGCTCTTTGAGGAATATGTTCTTAAAAGTAGTTCCTTAATGTTGCATTTGGAATCCTGTGTATCCTCTTCCTTTCCCAGCAACAAAAGTCCTGTTTCACCTTCAAAGCAAGCAACTTACAATTAGTATATGAAACAAAAGACATTTGAATCTGTTCTCCAAACCTTTTCTACTCTTCCAAGCAGAAGAAGTGCTCTGCATTAAAACTTCCCCATGATAATGAAAAAGCCGAAAAGTTTTCAGCATTAAATATGAAAATTCCTTTGTTACTTAAGTATTTTGACAGTGAAATGCATGGGGATTAAAGAGTGAGTTTCACCAAATAGTAAGAAAAAATTCAAGGAAGAAAAAACAGTGACTGAAAGAACCAATTAATGTATGCATTCTGATTTTTCTTCAAAGAAATACAACATTTGTGGCAAGATAGAAAGGTGCTCTTATTGCCTACTCCCTATGTATATACATCAATACATTTATTCACTGCACAGTCTGCAGTTTTCATTTCATAAATAATACTATGCCTCCTAACCTTGGTAAGGAGAACATGGAAATATTTTGGAATTGTAAGGAACCTTAGAATATATCTGGCTCAACCCTCTTATTTTCTGGTTAGGAAAATGAAGTTCTGAGTGATTAAGTGACTTGCCAAAGGCCACATAGCTTCTTAACAGGATTTCTGGAACTAGACCCAAGTTTCCTGATAATCTGGTAGGCTATCTCCCCCCAAAAGCATGGGGGTGGGGGGTATAAAGCCATTCCTTTACCTGTTTTGGTTAGGAGTCTTCATATCCCTGACTGGCTACAGACCAGCTCAACTTTCAAATATTTACTTGACAGATAATGAAAAGATACTATCGGACTATGGGACAACCTTTGTTATGGCATGGAAAAACACTCACAACTACAGGGTGTGGAACAGCAACAAGCATCCAGCACTTGCAGAAATAAATCCGAAGTAAGCACATCCTCTGAGGATTGATGGTACATAACATGGTTGATTTATGAAGTATGCCCCGGTATAAAGAAGATTGTATCTTAACTTAGATGACAACGTGAACATCTCCAAAAATCTCCTTAAGTCGATTATAAAATCCCAGATACAGAGAAGCAGCTGAAAACTGCTTCCCTATTCTTACTTTTTACACAAAAAGCGCAAGACATTTTTGGAAGGATTAACATTTCTCCCAGCTCTTGGCATAATTCAGAAGAGGAAGTCTGGCACATGGTGATGCTCAGTACATGATAGTTCTCTCCCTTTCCCTGGATCTTTGCTTTAGCAGAATGGTCAAACAAGATAGAACCCTTGAAGGAAATACCACTGGTTGAGACTGAGAGGTTATTTTAAAACATGAAGTGTGAAAAGACTAAAGTTGGTACTTGAATTCCTAGATGCGTGGTCAAACTTAGTTTCCAACTCAGATTCTAAAATCCGGCAAAATTTAATACCTGTCAGAATACTGAATGTTGACAGACTTTATCCATATAGGCACAAAAGACATTTAAACATGCTGTGAAGTGGGGCCATTATGAAGCCATGTTGCCTTGTTTGAATGGAACAGAGTAGAGTCTAAGGAGGTCTCTCCATTGATAGAATGTGTACGTAGTATCCCTCCCCTTCTTCGCGGTTTCAGTTGCTTGGGGTCAACCGCAATCCTGAAGCAAATGATCCTTTTCATGACACATCATCAGAAGGTCGGTAGTAACCTAACGCTACATCACAGTAAATGCCCTTCACCTCCCTTCATCTCATCGCTAGGCATTTTACCATTCCACATCATCACAAGAAGAGGGAGGGTGAGTACAGTGCAGTAAGAACTATTTCCCAAGAGAGAGAAAAGACTACATTCACATAACTTATTATAGAGTATTGCTGTTATTGTTGTATGTTATCATTCGTTGTTAATCTCTTGCTTTGCCTAATTTATAAATTAAACTTTACTGTAGGTATGTATATATAGGAAAAAACATATAGGATTCAGTACTGTCTGTGGCTTCAGACATTCATTGGGGTCTCAGAATGTGTCCTCCGCAGTTAAGGGGGAACTACTATACATCCTAGGGACCTATTTTCTAAATTACATGATTAAAATGATTTTTTTTAGTGATACAAGTATACAGTGAATGTTTTCATTTGTATTTTAAACTTATACCTCTTGGTGAGAGTTGGACAAAAATCAGCTTTGTCCTGACTATTATTTAGGAGCTAGGGTTAACTTAGCTAGACTGCGGATATGATTTAAGCGGTTCTATAAAGACTATTCCCTCTCCCCACACAGAATCCAGATATTTATGTCATAAGTAACTTAGGGAAGCATCTGCAAGGATGAAATATAGCCGGGTTTTAAAGAACATGTCTGTTAAACTTTATATCATCTATCAAGAAAAATGACTGGGTTCAGCAACGATTTTGGTGAATTTAATTGTCACACTGGGCTATAGCAAAAATCTCTATTGGCATTTGAATGTGGTAAAAACAGAGAATTAAAAGGCAAAAAAATCTTAATAGTATTAAATGAAAGAGCTTAGAGTTCAAAGTATTCTCCCTCACTAACCACAAGGTCTGTGTTTTAAAGAATGATGAAGAAAAACAGATGTGAGTTTTTTTGCCTGGTGGCCCTCACTGTCACGGGGCAGGAGGGGGAGGCGGGGTGGGGAGTAGTGACTGACGGTCCACCTCTACTGTTCACAGTGCAGCCTGGAAGGTCTCTTCCCCCAATGCTCTGTACTGATAACCTGGTCATATTTTAATGCCGATCTGTAAGAGGCTTAGCTGAATGGGTTTTAAAGGACATAAACCTGTACTTTTAAACATGTGTAAATAAATTGGGGTTATTTAGATTGAAGAAAAAGCTGAAGAAAGACCTGATATATATAGGTAAGGAAATTACGCAGATATAGTAGCAGTTTTTCATTATTTTCACCAAATTAAAAACAAGAAATGATAGTCTTCACTTGTCAGGGGATATAACTTGGACGTATTCCAAACTAATTGTAAGATTTGAGATCTATGAAACCCTTTGTCCAGCTTCAGAAGAGGAGAGGAGGCAGTCCTCTAACTTAGTGAACAGCCCGTATGCTTCATCCTTGAGGCAGGGCTTCCTGGGAATATGAAGAAATGCCGATTAAGTCCTCTCAGTTCTGTCAGCCTGTGAGTCAGGAATCCAGAAAACGTAAATGCATCCCATATGCTTAATATGGCCAATAAGGAAACTTACTGTCTTTTAAAAAGCCATGAATAGCATTTTGGTGTTTTTATAAGTGTAGCTATAGATTTCATTAGGGTCACTGTCTTTGTTAGACATTGAGAGAGACCTCTCAGGGTGAAATAAGAATGTGGATATTTATTGACTCCTTTTACAGTACAACTTTGGTCTAGTTGCCTGAATTTATATATGCACACCTACACTTCTTCCCTTTTGTACTTCTTCTTCTTCTCCTTTTTTTTTTTAAAGATTTATTTGACAGAGCAGAGCACACAAGCAGGGGGAACAGTAAAGGGTGAGGGAGATGTGGGCTCCCTGCATGGCAGGGAGCAGGGCTTGATCCCAGGACACTGGGATCATGATCTGAGCCAAAGGCAGACGCTGAAATATCTGAGCTACCTAGGCGCCCCCCATTTTGTACATTTTTAAGACCTAAATTTTTAGTTGCTTTCCAGATAGGAAGTACAGATTTCTTTTTTTTTTTTTTTTTTTAAATATTTTACTTATTTATTTGACAGATCACAAGCAGGCAGAGAGGCAGGCAGGGGGTGGTGGAGGGAAGCAGGCTCCCTACTGAGCAGAGAGCCTGATGCGGGGCTCGATCCCAGGACCCTGAGATAATGACCCGAGCCGAAGGCAGAGGCTTAACCCACTGAGCCACCCAGGTACTCCTGAAAGTACAGATTTTACTGATGTACACAAATCTCCAGATGACCAATAGCATGCATTCATAAGACAGCCAGAATCAAGGTACAGTCCATGGTCGTGGCCTAAGGTAGTGACTAACCCTGACTATCCTGGGGAGCTTTTTAAAAACACTGATGATTAAGCCCCAGCCCCAGACCAAATAAATCGGAACATTAGCGTAGCATTAACACAAACCTCTTTCTCACCCCCCGCTCCAAGAAAAGAAACACCTATTTTACAAGGGAGGAAATAAGCTCAAAGAGGCTCCCAAGACTGTGAGTAATGATCTGTGCTGAAAGCCCCATTTCCTGCTGTCATGTGCAGAACACACCCATCCAGCTGAGTCACCCCTGCAAGGTTTACTGATGCTTCCTTGTGACAGCATTGTTTTGCAGCTTTATTGGTAAAATTCATAGTCTAATAGTCTCAAACTTTGTTTTACAGCCATCCTTTTCAAGGCCAGTACTCCGTGTCAGACATGAAGTTAAGATTCTCACAGTGAGTATTTAGGAAAAAAAACTAGGAAAATTTTTATGACTGAGTTTATGCCATGTGTTTCATTGCTAATTAGGAATTGTTTTTCTCCACTTGATAGACTTGTGCTTCAAATAGTAACCAAATATGTGCATAACATTCTCTAGCTCAGCAGTGTGTATGTTTCAGAGTGAAAACACTGCTGTTTCATAGAGAATGGTGTGAACTAATAACAGAATTTGCCATTTTTATTCTGGTGGAGTAACTTTAGCAAGTCATAGCTGTAGGAAGAATTAACCATGCATCCTTATGGCCTTTTTTGGTTCGTCTGCACGTTATTTTAGTATTTTCTGAAAGTTTACGTCCCTAAGCTTACTAAATTAATTGATGCATGATAAGTAATTTAGCTTCTTTTCTCAATAATCCAATTTTGGGGGTGGTTATAGGGTGTGGTATATGTGAATTTTTGTAATATACCTAAAACTTCTTTGCTTTACTTAGTTCTGTTCAAAACAGTGAACGTGGCAAAAAAATTGGAAACGTCATGGTCACAACCAGCCGAAATGTTGTACAAACAGGAAAAGCTGTTGGTAAGACATGCCTTTAGATAGAAACCGATTAGAATCGTAACACATCTCTTCTCTGTACTCAGCGTGTCATTGATAAAATCATAAAGTTGTAGAAATCTTTGTATCATATAATAATACAAGATGGTTGAATACAAAGGTTTCGTTTTCACCTTATTCCTGAAAATTCTTATGACATCAGATAATATCTGAGTTCAGCAAATTTTGCCACACCTGATGGAGATACCAATTTTCTGATGTGTTCCCTGTTCTGTTTACAAGGATTCAACATTTCCTGCAATTTTTTATAAGTAGTAGAGCACTGTAATAAAGTAGGCACTGAGAATGCTGTCTTCTAAGGTATTAGCATAAAATGAAGGAAATCAGTGAAACTAACAGGTCATTTTTTAAAAGATTAACAGTATTAATAAAACCTTAATAGACTAATAAGAAAAGATACAAATTACCAGTGTTGGGAGTGGAAAAGATGACATCACTATACATCTTACAGAAATTAAAAGGATTATAGGGAATACTGTGAATAATTTTTATGCCAGTTTTTTGACAATTTAGATGAAATATGCAAGTTCTTTGGAAGACTCAAATTGCCAAAACTGATTCAATAAGTAATCAAAAATTTAAATAGTCCTAGATCTCTTAAATAAATCGAATTAAAAATCATGCCACAGGTTTTTTAATTTAATCCAGGCCAAGATGCCATCAATTATGAATTTTATCAAATATTAAAGGAATAATGCCAATTTTATACAAACTCTTTCAGAAAGTAGTGGATGAGAAGTAGCCCTCCCCAGTTCATTTATTTATTCATTTATTTATTTTAGAGAGCGTGTGCGTGCATACAAGTAGGGGGAGTGGCAGGCAGATGGAGAAGCAGGCTCCCCAGTGAGCAAGGAGTCAGTGTAGGACTCGATCCCAGGACCTAAGGATCATGACCTGAGCCAAAGGCAGCCACTTAAACTGGCTGAGCCACCCAGGCATCCCTCCCAGTTCTTCTAATGTGGCCGGTATTACCCTGAGAACCAAAGCCAGACAAATGGTATCGTGCTATTGTATGCATTCTTCTGCATCTAGCTTTCTTCAGTTAAAATACTTTGAAGTTTGTTCCATATCCATTCTAAAAAAAAGTCTTAATTCCTTTTCTACATTTTTAACTTTTTTTTTTTTTTTACATAATTTCAAATTTAAATAGTGCAACAGTGTACAAGGAGCTCCCAATTATCTCAGATTCGCCAGTTATTTACATTTTGCCACATTTGCTTTGTCATATCGATATGTAAAAATAGGAGCCATCTCCTTCCTTAGCTTCTGGGAGAGGTCGACTAACCCTTACTGATCACAGTTCAAAAGCCCTGGACCTCGGGGATCTCTGCAGGCCTCCTAGCTCTAACATTCTGTGTCCCTAGAGATAGACAGGGTGAGTGAATCACATATGTACTCTACAGTACATATGTGATACAGTTCCATCCCTTTAAATGACATACAGCACATAGCTCCATCAGTGGGTTCGTTTCATTAAAGGGAATGGAATCTAATATGTAAGCATTTATTTCCATATAATATTATGCATTTAATTTCTTTTGATTTCTTATTTTTTTAAAAGAAAAATTCTCCTTCGTTATAAGTGTATGATGTCAATCGTTACTTCATTTTTAGTGATGCTCCTGCTGTTTATGTTCTAAGGCCAGTTCTCTTCCACACTCCCTCTAAGAATAGTGGAATATGTGATTCAACTTAAATAATTAAAGCATCAGTTTTGAAGATAAGGGTTTTTTTTTAATATTTTATTTATTTATTTGACAGAGAGATAACATAAGTAGGCAGAGCAGCAGTCAGAGGGAGAAGGAGAAGCAGGCTTACCACTGAGCAGGGAGCCCGATGTGGGGCTCCATCCCAGGACCCTGGGATCATGAACTGAGCCAAAGGCAGAGGCTTAACCCACTGAGCCACCCAGGCGCCCCTGGAGATAAGGTTTTTTAAAACAAAACCTACCTGAGGCAGATAGAGCAGTTGACATCTTCATTTATTGCAGTATCATTTCAGATGACAAAAGCACAGTTCCTGAAAGTAGCCTAACCACTGTTCCCTGTGTAGGTGGTTATCAGTTATCAACTCGGATTTAAGCTACAGAGTGCATGGTTCTTTCTCGGCTCTCCCAAGTGGTTCTGATGCACAGCCAGGGCTGAGAACCACTGGCCTAGCCTGGTGGGTATTAAGGGAAGGGTCGGCTGACCACCTTCAGAATGGTTAGGAGAGGAGGCTCTTTTCCCGAAGTTACCCAGTTTCCTTCTAGACCATCATAGACAGGGATTGTTTTGAAACTAGGAATGTAAATGGTATTTTAGTAACTATTAACATATTGATGTTACAGTAAATTAACACTCATTGATTAGCATTGATCTTTCACTATCTATTAATAAAAGTGAAGACTTTTTTCCTTTTGTTTTTTCCCTCTTCTCCATCCAGGCCAGTCAGTTGGAGGAGCTTTTTCCAGCGCGAAGACAGCTATGTCTTCGTGGCTTTCTACTTTCACCAGTCCCGCCCCCCAGAGTCTCACTGAGCCCCCCGACGGGAAGCCCTGAGCAAGGCGTCCAGAGGCTGCTGTCGCTTCCTTAGGTTTAAATGTCTCCCATCTGCTGCTCCCAGACTGTTCTCTTCATCGGCCACAGGTCCACACAAGGGGACCAGGATGTCGAACTGTTTACAGGGACAGTTGTCCTCTGTCTAATTGAATGTCGCAGGATGCTGGAAAGATGAAATCGCAGCCATAGCAGGGATGGCTTTCCAGGTTGGGGTTTAAATTGACTACTTTTATTTCAGTCTGAGCCTGATTAAAACACAGTGAAACTTCTAATGAATTTTCAGTTCTGATAGTGTACATTTGTTTACTTTAGACAAGTTTTTACTTATGTAAATTTTGTTCTCTTTTCCTGTTTGAATATCCAGATGGCCAACTGTCATTTATATGTGCTAAAATTAAGTTATATTACTATTCTAATTTCTCTCAAGTTGGCCCTAAAATGTGTTTATAAAGTTAAGGGGCCATACAATCCAGCCCTTTGTTATTACTTTGCTGAGTTATATGATGATTTTTTTTGTTGGTTTTCTGCCCACAAAATATATTTATCAGTTCACTTCCTCCCAGAAACATGAAAACCAGAGGTGGTAGTTCTGAGGATGGGAGTGTTTTGTTTCATGTTTTTAATTTATTCTTTCCCAGTCCTAAACACTTGCTCTGAGGTGTCAAGGAGTGTCACTGTGCTTTCTTCCTCTTCCCAACTGTGCAGGTGGGTGTGCAGCGAAATAGCATGGTGCCAGTTGCAATGGTGTTCAAGCAGGTTAACATGAGTGTATTTACAGTGGAGACTCTGGAAGACCTCGGTGTTAGTTCTGTCAACCCTAATTATGTTGCAGTCTTCTACAAGCATTTTTTTTAACCCACAGTTTGTGCCTTCTGTTTCTTCTTTTGAACAGTTTTCCATGGGTGTTTACAGATGTACAGGTTTTTTTCTTAGTCTTACTCTTCATACAGCTTTTCAAGGCATTTGGCCTTCCCACTCCCTGATGGAAAATCGTTCTGTAATCAGTCCCTACCCCCTTATGAAAGTATTTATAAAAGAAAAACAAGATGATCCATAAATATTAAGTAGAAATCTCATCTTTGCTCATCTTTGCTTAGAAAACCAAGAGGCAAGAGAAGAAAAACACAGCCACAGTTTTCACAAAGGACCTCTGGTTTCACTTTAGATACATGCGTATGTGTGCTATCTACTGAAGATTTTTACACAACTGGACCTCCTGTATCTGCTGTGCTCAGCTCTCATTTGCTTTTCAAGGGGACTTTGGATGGGTGTTCTCAGGGAGTACTTAACAGGGGACAAACTGCTTGTTCAGTAACAAAGGACACTTGGAAAATACATTGTGAGTATGATCTACATATGATAGAGTATTGGGAAAACATTTAATTAAGGAGAACACTTGATTATATTTGATTTATCCCTTAAGAACGGGGCACCTGGCTGGCTCAGTTGGTAGATCATGTGACTCTTGATCTCAGGGTCATGAGTTCAAGCCCACATTGGATGTGTAGCCTATTTAAAAAAATAAAATCTTTTTAAAAAATTAAGTGTTTACTTAAGAAGTAAATTTTTCTAGAGCATGTGGAATGGACATAGGGACGTAATTCTAAATATCTCTGAATTTTCCAATTTGTGTTTTAACACAAGTCCAGCAAATCTGAAAGTGTATTTCCATTTGAGACAATAACTCAGAAATTCAGTGATCATCAGTGAAAGGGTTTATGGTGAGAACTCTCTTAATTCCACTTCTGCTGGGAAACCGCCTTCTCAGGAAATATTATTTGAAGAGAAGAAAATAATACCAAACAAAACCTTAAAAGGTACTTTAATCAGTGTTGCACTTAAAGAATTCATTCTAACATTTTGTTTCATGAGGCCACATCATTAGTTGGAGTGTCATAGTGTGGTTGTGCCATTGGTGTTGGTATGCAGTTGTTACCTCTCACCTGCCCAAAGTTTACAGAGCTGAGAGCACCGTGACAGGTGAGCCAGCACACTGCTCGTCCATCCTCCAGTTTGGATGGTGTGAGGGCTTAGGGTAAACTCCCATCTCTCACTGTTCAGAAGCAGGCCAATCCACATTTTGAAACCCCACTGAAATAAAAGTAGTTTAACTTCACTTTAGGATCACTTGTTCCCCATTTTTATGTATACTTTTAATGAGCTTTCTGTTAATGTTTCTGGTTAAGAGTTCAACTCTTAAGGTGGTTATTTAACTGGCTTTCAACATAAATTGAATATCTCAAAAGATAGAACTTTTGTTGGAGAAGTAGTCAAAACACTGAACCATATTTCCTTCAGGTTCTGGGAGGCATTGGAGTTTTCAGGGAGCATAAGCTAATATGTTGTTGGCAGGGGCCCGGGGGCAGCCAGCACACTTGATGTCAGGAAGCCTGGCCCTTGTCGCATGAGCCTGCATGCTTGTCCCTTGGATTCCAGGTGTCAGCTAAGTGGCCAGCCCCAGAGGCTGTAGCCTCTTTGGCTCTTTGAGTGATGGGAGCCAACCTTAGGCCATCTTTGGACATCTCAGTAGTAAAGGTGGATGTTTCGTTGGGCCATACTTGCTCCAGTGCTTTTCTGTCTAAGAATTGAGTATTTGTAAGTAGGCCTGAGGGAGTTCGGGTCAGCCAGGCTTTTCCAAGGTGTGCCAGGCACATGGACTGCATCTATAGCTTGCTGCTGGCCTCACTGCCATCTAGGTAAGTCAACGGAGTGCTGGCAGTAAGTCCCTGGCATTAGTTAGTTCCTGCTAAGGCATTGTAATGACAGATTACATAGGGAAGGAAAAGAGTTAAGGCTACCGACTGCCTGTCGTGGGCTAAGTGAATAGAAAAAGTTGCACGTCAGAGTGAGGCTAGTTACCTTGAGTATGCATTTGACCCTTGTCACCAGGGTGAATAGCCCGTCCCCAGATCCACTAGTGACGTGCTGGCGCCCAGGCTCTAAAACAGTCCTCATCTACTTTTTGCTCTAAGAAACAGCAGAAATATACACGGGCAGCGAACCAGAGCAAATGACGTGATTTCCTCAACCTTATCTTGCTTTCTGAGTTCTATATTAAGCATTGCTTTTTTTTTTTTTTTTAAGAGTAGTTTACTTTAGAAAGGCAAGGAGAAAACGTATTAGAAGGGAGACAAGTAGACAAGTTAGAAGTTGCAAGGCTAAGAAACAAGTTACTTAAAATCTGAATGAAGGTATTTTGAGAGCAGTATTTAATGTGCTAAAGGTTATAAGAATTCTTTTACAAAGAAGTTAGAATTTTAATCTACTAACTACAGGTTTTAAAATGAAGCTATAACATTATCTCCCTGACAGGCAGGTTTTGTTCTTACTTTGTTTTGTGGAAGTTACAGCCAGCCAGTGGTTTTTTTTTTTTTTTCCATCTGGGCCTCATGATGAGTTGGGGAGCAGTCAGCTCTGTGAGGGGCAGTGAGCTGATCTTGAACCGCATGAACTTTTATCTGTGTCAGCAGTTTCGGGAGGTAGCCTTTTAGAATGGTAGCTGCTAAATATCACCCACGTTTCATTGGGCAGTTGGTTGGGACTGTTGAAATGACATCACCATTTGCATGCTCTGATTCTTTGACCAGAGGTGGCATAGCATTTGCGGCCTTTCCACCCAAATCAGTGGTAGCCCCTGAGGCTGACAGGGAGCGCAGTCCCAGCTTCTAGAAGATGATTGTCCTTCTACGCGACACAGCATGCCGCTAGGAGTTTTTCATTCCAGGTCTTTGGACTTCATGACATTGGAATTGTTTTGTCATAATTTCTAACATTCCATAAATATTTGTCAAGGACAAAGAAAAGGAATGTGGACCTTTATTCTTTTCGTATAAATAACTTTGTACACATGACTTCCTGCTTTCCTATGAAGGGGAAGAAATTAGCTCCTCCCTTGTGTGGTAACTCCAGAATTAAACGATTGTGCACGTAGAGGGGTTGAGTATATTTTGTAAAACTCTAATGATTTGTATTTCTGTGCTGTTCTGAAGTTTACCTTTTTACTTATATTAATTAAAGATATAGAAACTATATATTTAAATCATGTAAATGGGATACAATTGAGGGGGCTTTTTCCAGTCTTACTTTTCGTCGGCTTCTCACATACACGTAGTGTGCTGCTCAGACTTTCATGTGCAGTATAAACATTTGAACATTTCAGCCAGGCACTGAGCCAGAAAAGGTAATTGAAGTCTTTTAAGACAGCTGCTGTGCTTAGAAAATATTTGTTTTCTTGAAATATTAATAATTTATAGCTGGAAAAAAACGGGATCAAGACATGTGTTTCAGGCCACTTGGTCATTGTTTCCTAAGTTTAAGAAGCATTTGATTAACAAGTTGGTGAAGGCATTTAGTGGTTACAAAAACAGTTAAACATTTGAGATTAGAGGCTTCCCACAAACCCTCTCTAAGAAAGTTTAGCTAAGAAATCTTAGAAAGTTTTCTGAGGAGGTTTAGCTGTGGCACATGTTTTGATCGGAAAAATAGTTCCTCTTTGCTCCAGTAGTTTTATAATTTGTACTAGTTCTTTGTTTCTGTTGTCATTTGTTTAAAAAAATGTTAAAATTATAAATCACATCTAATCATAGTGAAATGTAAAACTTCTACTGTATCTTTATTTTAAGGAAAAATAAGAATAAAATTATCCTGTTTGTCCTGCATACAGTCAGACTTGGCCTGTCTTTCTAGAAGTGCACTTCATGTTGTCAGTGTGGTCTCTGGCCTGCTTCTCGGTTGGACAGCAGTGCCAGCTTTATGTAAGAAACCAGCACACAGACTGAACCAGAGGACCCGTTGCTCATTTAATGGCTCATTTTAATACTGCTTATGGTGGTGCCTCTGTTTTTAAGGAGATGGCCCCTGTGGGAAGAACCCCTTAGTTTCTCTCGAATGCTAAGTGCACAAAGTACACTTTTTATTATCACACAATTGGTGGCATGATAATATCCCATCCCATGCTCACTGACAGAAACCCCCAGGGGAATAGAACATTGTCAAGAGCAGCCTGTTTTCCCACCTGGACTGGTAAGCTTCAGAATAGCCCTTGGCATTTCCACTGAGGGCTCCTGGCATATTTTCGTATGTATTTCCATGTACTGTGATTTTCTTACAGCTCTTCTACAAAAGAGGAGCTTTGTGACTCGCTTCACAGAAGCAGATAAGTTTCTTTGCCCGCCCCCCGCCCGGGGGAAGGTGCCCTTCCTTGAGTGTGGGGTTAAGTTTAAGGTCCCAGTATTCTCTGACATGGACCATTAGCACCCCGGAGATGATGAGGTATTTGGGGACAGTGGAGCTGGGCACTGCCGGCATCTCCCCTTTTCCAAGGACCTCTGTCACCTGGCGTCAGGCTCTGCGGTGCTGAGGCGGACAGTTCCCCCTCACCTCCGAGGTCACAACTGCCTTTTCTTTACTCTGATAGGATGGGAGTGACAGTTATTTAATCTGGTAACATCTAGAACAACTATGGTCGTGGAGCCAGTTTTTTTTTCCGAGGAACAACCCTTCACAGAGGTCTTCTCTGCCTGGGCTTCATCTCCACGAGGTTAGGGAACTGCACATAAACACACTTTGTGTGATTCTGGAGTCTGAAGCTAGGGAGTAGCCTGGCGCCAGAGATCAGAATGGTCGTGCTCTTTGCTCTTCTGGTGAACACCTGCGTTTGAACTGCTGACGTCCCAACACAACACAAGAACCAAGATTGAGATCATTTCAGTGTATGTGTCTTATCTTTCACTGGACCCGGCCACACTCCTGGAGCACACAGATGTGGACTGAAACTGTGGGAGAATGACGAAAGCCACATGATGAAATACTGATCATTGTTGAAGCCAGGTGATGATTATGTTGGGGTTCGTTAGACTGCTCGTCTGGTTTGGGTTATGACCGCCATCCTGTCCTTTTCCTGCTGCTTCCTGCCCAGGCATTTCTCTTCAGTAGTTGTAGGGAATTTAAAGACTTAGGTCAGGCCCTAGCAGGATGTCTGCTAGTCCTCCTCTTCCATGGTGGAAGCATCTATCTTGAGTTCCTTAAGAACTATCTTGAGGATAGCAGAATCTATCTTGAGTTCCTCTTTGTACCCCTAGAGTTAGCTTAGAATAGAAAAGGACAGAAAAGCAGTTTTTGGAAAAGTCAGTTACTCTAAGTTCTCACTGTTCTTTCAGAGTCTTATGTCTCAGTCCCATTTCCTCCTACCTCTGCTTCCACATTCCCAGTGGGTTGTGTCTGACCCTTAACTGGTTTCCCTGTTGCCAGTCCTCCCTCCACACCCAGAGACCTAAAACGTGATGGAATTTTTAATTATTCCATGGTAACCTTCAATGTCTACTTACTGTCTACAGAATGAAGGCCAGATTCCTAAGTGAGGCATGCAGAGCCTAGAACACGGTAACCCGTGCCCTGTTAGCTTCTCCACTGCTCCCCTAGCCTCCTCAAGCCCCCTGGCCAACTGAAACCTTCACTGTGTATCACTTTCCCACCCCCTAATTGTCAGAGAAGCATTATTGAGAGAACCCACAGTTGAAGGCCCAGCTCCAGCCTCTCTCCCTTAAAGTCTCCCTGGGGCTACTCTGAGTCCTTTCTGAAACACTCGGGGTCAGCATTTATTGAGCACTACCTGAATAGGTGCTCCCAGGCTTGGAGATTTGCAATTAGTAAAACACTTTTTAAAACAAGAGAGAGGCAACTCAAGTGAAATACACATACAGAAAAGATTAAGGGACATACAGTAAAATAAAACTAAAGCGACCATTCATGTAACCACAACCCACATAAGAAACCGAGTATTAGCACCTAAAAAAAAACCCAGCCCATGTCTCTCCAGTAATAATAATTCCTCCTCCCGAAGTATTTTGTACTCTCGAGATAATCATTTCTTTATAATTGTACCCCCTCCTTCCTATGTGTGTATCCCAAACAGCATAGTTTATTTTTTGTTTATTTTTGAACTTACATAAATAGAATCAACCCCTTGTATTAGGTCTTTCTTTGTTAATTTTGTTTTGGGGGGGACTTTTCTCTTTCAGTGTTTTGTAATCCCATGCCATTGTGCGGCTGTCCCACAGTTCATCGTCTGCCGTAGGCGGGCTTGTCTGTTTCCTGTTCAGGCCTGATGGAAACAGCGGTGCTGCTCTGTTCTGGTTTGCATTCCCAGCGCACCTGTTTCTCTAGGGTATAAATGTGAGAGAGAAACTGCTGGATATTTTTTCAGTGTCTCCCACGCTTTGGTATCACAAGAAATTTAAATTTTTGCCGATCTGGTGGGTGTGAAATGCTATCTCATTGTAGTTTTTAATTTGCATTTTCCTGAGTACTAATAAGGTTGAGTAAGTACTTTTTCATCTATTTATTAACCATATAGATTTCTACTTTTGTGAAATGCCTGTTCCCGTCTCTTACCCATTTATCTATGAGGTTGTCTGTTTCTTATTTGCTTAAGTGTTCTACGAGTTTTTGTGTGTATATATATGTATGTATTCTGGATATTACTTCTCTGTCAATTATGCATGTTACAGATATCTCATTCTGTCTTGTCTTCATTCTTTATGATATGTTTTGATGACTAGAATTCTTAATGTAGTTAAATCTATCTTTCCTCTTATGATTAGAGGAAATTATATGTTCTTGTGTCTTATTTAAGAAACCTTACTCTACCTCAAGGTCATGATATTCTATATAATCTTCTAGCAGCCTTTAAAATTTGGCTTTCATATTTATTCACCTGAACACCTGGAATTTCTTTTTTAGAGTGATCTCGAGTAGAAGTCCAATACCTCCCACCACCCCGACTTCCCAGTGTGGCTAGAAAGTTTTGGCATTTCTTCTTTTGCCAAGTAAGGACTACTAATTTATCTTACCATTATCATTTTATACAAAGACATCTTAATACCAAAACATGGGAAGAGCATAGGGTCAGAGGAAAGGAGAATCTTTTAAATCAAATAATTAACTGAGTTGTACTAATTTAATGGGTCTTAATTTTTCTCATTTTGTTACAGGTTCTGTGTACCGGTTTATGGAGATGGATGAAGGAACTTCCATTATTTTCCTCGGAAGGGCTGACATTCCCCAAGTCTTACAATCACATAGAGGTCCAGTGTTTTCCCGAGCTGTCCTGGGCAGCCACAGACCCTAAGAACTTTTAACACTGCATCAGAGGCACACTGGCCTCCACAGAGACTCAAGATTTGTACATCTTTGGCTACTTGCCCTGGGAAGCCACTATTAAGATGAACCAAAGTCCCTCATACTCATACTGCATTTTATTTATTTTATTTTATTTTATAAGATTTTATAAGATTTTATAAGATTTTATTTATTTATTTGACATATCACAAGTAGGCAGAGAGGCAGGCAGAAAGAGGGGGGAAGCAGGCTTCCTGCTGAGGAGAGAGCCTGATGCGGGGCTTGATCCCAGGACCCTGAGATCACGACGTGAGCCAAAGGCAGAGGCCCAACCCACTGAGCCACCCAGGCACCCCCACACTGCATTTTAAACCCTGTCTTCTCCCTATCCAGTATTTTGAGTGCCCACTATGCATGCACATAGCACGTGCCACACACGTGGTTCCTGGCCCTCTTGGAGCTTGGTGTTCAGCAGGGCAGGTGAGCAGTTACCACAGAGGGCAAAGAGGGCCAGATCAGGCATAAGCAAGGGTATGTTCAAGCACATCACAATGGCCAGCTGCATCTGACAGGTACAAGTAGAAGTTTCCTCCCCTGGGAGCCCAAGTTGAGACCTGTAGCCTGGGTGATAAGTTGTGGGGGCGAGGTGGGGATGGGGGAAGAGGTGGTAAGCTACAGAGGGCTCACCCAACCTGCCTCTGGCCAGCAAGGAAGCGGTTCCAGGTTTCCCCCCTGCCTTCTCGAACCAGTCTATACCCCTTCTCCTGGCTCACAGGGTTCTCCCCATCCTGACCTGGCCATTAAGGTCCCAGGCACACCAAAGAACATTCACTTCTTCCAAGTATGCCTATGCTGCCCTGTGATGCTGCCCTCCATCAAAAAGCAATCACCGTGAGAACATGTGTTTTTCTTTGATTCAGCCAAAGTTTAGTAGGGCTTGTTAGGAAAAAGCAAGTCTGACTGATTTCAGGGTGTGCAGGGGACACTCCAGCATCTAACTTAACTCTTCTTGGCTACCAGGAGACCCAGAGACCTGCCTCACCAGCTCTGTGTGGATAGGTTTAGACTTGGGTAAAACTCACTTTTCCTCCACACAGTTTACAAGCAGGGAGGGAGTGCTTTCTATATTTGAAAAGTCCATCTGCGTCATGAATTCTCATTCCTATTCACTTCATGAATTTTTTTTTTTTTTTTTCTGATCGACTCCCCAGATGAACCACATGCTTTGCTCTGTGGGATAATTAGGTCAAAGTAGGAGAGCAGAGAATTTGAAAAGTAGCCTTTCCACCTGCTCCTCCTGGCTGTGCCCTAGAAGATGGTCCCTCCGCCATACTTCCTAGAATCCACTGAGGCCGAAGTTAAACCACACCATCCTCAGCTGCAGTGACCCTGTGCTGGCCCCCCTGTGCAAGGTCATTCATGAGACACCAGCACTGCCTCCGTGGCCTCCGTCGATCATTCATGCCCACTAGATGCCTTTGGAGTGGAAATTCCCAGGTAAGGTTGTAACAGATAAAGATGAAAGCATTTCTTTGTATCACCCACTTTATTTATTTTTTATTTTTTTTTTAAGATTTTATTTATTTATTTGACAGAGAGATCACAAGTAGACAGAGAGGCAGGCGGAGAGAGAGGAGGGAGCAGGCTCCCTGCTGAGCAGAGAGCCTGACGCGGGACTCGATCCCAGGGCCCTGAGATCATGACCCCAGCTGAAGGCAGTGGCTTAACCCACTGAGCCACCCAGGCGCCCATGTTTCACCCACTTTATTATTTAAAATCACGGGGACAGGAGGATTATAATTCTTAAATCTTAAATTCTTAAAGGTGTTTTCCCACCTTTGAAGCATGTTTTTCTCTTAGTGACAGCTCCCTTGTTTTGAGACTCAGAGTTTAAAACATTTTTATCCTGAGTGCTATTAATTCCTCTGCTGTGAGTATCTGGGCTTAATGAATCCGTAGAATTTTCCTTTTGGGTCTTTGTTGTAAATGAAGGATAGTAGTCACTACTGCTCTGGCTGGGAAACATGTTTTTTGTTCCCTTTTAAGTCACCAGATTAAATCCTGTGACTCTTCTCCCTTAAAGAGCAGGCTGTGCTTCTAAAGTTTCTAACACAATTTCTAGGGTATGCGGATGTATTTCCTGTATTGAAAATGTCGTTCATGGGGGCTTTGTCTCAGTTCATAGAAACCTACATGTCAGAGAGCCAGTGTATATATGAAGACATAGTATAAAGGTGCTAGAGAACTGAAATGCTCTGTATAAGAGTCCAAAAAAAATGTTAACTTACAACCTAACAGCTAAAAACTTAACTCCCCTCTGCTACAGCCCTAGCAGCAGCAAGTAAAGATTCAAAATCACTTAGTATAATCCTGTCTAAAGTTCAGAAGACAAGAGGAGACCTGCTCAAAAATTTGGTATAAAGTGTTGAGTTAAGAGGTCCAGTAAAGTGCCATGGCGTTCCTTTCTGCTGGGACAACCAGAGAAGGCTTCCTGGAGGAAGTGGCATTCTCTCTATTCTTGAGTGAGTGAAGAAGATAAGATTCTCAATAGAGGCAGTAAAGGTAAGAGCAGATTTTTAGCCCACCCTCAGGGGGGCCCATGGCCTGTGATGCAGAAAAGGAGCAGGTAAGAGTGAGTAAAGCTTTAGAAAGGGGTAAGAGGTGATAATGGAGGAGAGCTAAGAAAGAAATCAGTCTCTGGAGATGCTAAAGCCAGAAGGAGCCTGAGATGCATAAAAACCACCCGGGTTACTCTTGGTGAGATACAGGAGGGGTTTGTTTGTTTGTTTGTTTGTTTGTTTGTTTTTTAAGATTTTCTTTATTTATTTGACATAGAGAGACGAAGCAAGAGAGGGAACACAGCTAGGGGAGTGGGAGAGGGAGAATCAGGCTTCCTGCCAAGCAGAGAGCCCAATGGACCCTGGGATCATGACCTGAGCTAAAGGCAGATGCTTAAAGATAAGCCACCCAGGTGCCTGGGGAATACAGGATTAAGGAAAAGAGAGTGAGGAGGAGGAAATCCCCTAAGTGGCAAATACAGGAAGTAAAAGAAGAAATCAGGGATTGGGGCACCGACACCTCCACCCTGCAGTCAAGAATTTGTGTTAGGGGGCACCTGGGTGGCTCAGTGGGTTAAGCCTCTGCCTTCAGCTCAGGTCATGGTCTCAGGGTTCTGGGATCGAGCCCCACATCAGGCTCTCTGCTCAGCAGGGAGCCTGCTTCCTCCTCTCTCTCTGCCTGCCTCTCTGCCTACTTGTAATCTCCATCTGTCAAATAAATAAATAAATTCTTTAAAAAAAAAAAAAGAATTTGTGTTAACTTTCAGCTCCCCCAAAACTCTACTTATTGCCTACTGTTGACCTCTAGCCTTACTGATAACATAAACAGTTGATCAATGTATATTTTGTTTGTTATATGTATTGTATGCTGTATGCTTAGAGTAAAGTAAGCTAAGGAAAAGAAAACATTATTAAGAAAATCATAAGGAAGAGATAATACATTACAGTTCTGTGCTATATCAAAATACTCCATGTATGAGTGGACCCACACAATTCAAACTCCTGTTCAAGGGCCAACTTACTTTCCCCGATGGGAAATTGCTTGAAGTCTTGGAGGAGTGATGAGTAAGGCCACTCTGACTGAAGTGGACACCTCCCCACAGCACTTGACCATTCCTTCCTTCCTTAGGTGTCCACGCTTCCTGTAGAATATCAGGCTCCCACACTCCAAAAGAGTGCTTTTTTGAGTGTGTTTGAATGTTAAGCTAATACTTGTTTCATTGCTTTGAAAGAGATGCCCTTGCACCTGGGTGGCTCGGTCGGTTAATGTCCAACTCTTGATCTCAGGGTTGTGAGTTCAAACCCCACACTGGGTTCCACGCTGGGCATGGAGGCTACTTAAGGAAAAGAAAAATGCTCTTCTAAGAAGCAGGATCAGGCATTAAAGCTGGAGTGAACATTTTTATGGCCCTGTAACTTAATTAAGTGAGCATCTAACTCATTTTAAATGGACTTAATCTTGTCCTAAGATTGGTCAACATTCCGTTCCTAAGTTTATATCAAAGAAATAATCCAAGAGGAGGAAAAGGTATGTGTATGGAGTTCTGTGTCATTATAACGAATAATGAAAACTTGGAAACAACCATGATACTTAAGTGTGATACTAGTAAGTGCGGTGCTCACTGTCACGTTAGACGGCTGTTAATCACTGAAAAGTGGGGTAGTGCAGAGATGAAAATACAGAGGCGGCGGGGGGAAACTTATCCAAAGACAGGCGGTTCATAGGGGGCAGGAATCTGACTTGCTTCCCTCTGCATTTTTTCTTCCTTCTTCCTGTATCTTTTCTCCGTTTTCCCCACACTGGTGTGAGAAGCTGGCTACTGCATTGGAGGGAGGGGACGATCCAAGCACATATGGAGGTAGAGAAGACACTGCCTGTGAGTAGAAGCCTCTCAGGCCTTGGATGCGTCTCCATCACCATGACTACTGTTCTGGGGGCTAACTAGCTAGTGCTCTAATGGCCAGTGGTGGGGAGGAGGGGCCGGTCCTGGCACACAGGAGGCAGTGGATGACTATTGTGACATGAGCAAAACCTTCCTTTCCAGTGCCAGGCTCAGTGGTTACAGCTTACCAAGCGCAGTGTAATTGAGTACTGAAAGAGCAAAAGGAGCTCAGGAAGCAAAATAAAGCAGTGATTTCAACTGTTTCTATTTTACAAAGTGCTGGGTGAAACTGTAAAAGGATATTTAGTACCACAGAAAGTAGGCCAAGGGTAAGAAAAACTCTCCATACCCAAGAGAATTCAGCTGACCAAATTAAGTCCGATCCAGAATAAACAGTTCTCATCTGGAAATCTAGCAGTTCCAGAAAATACCGTCCAAGTGGAAAAGGGCCCACGATGCTGGTCTATGCAATTATGTAGCCCATGAGGCGAGTGGGAAGAAGTGCCACCATCCTGGGGTACACGGGGAGAATAGTTCTCGGGCCTCAAAGGAGAGGACTGTGCGGCTAAAGAGAAACCAGGCCCACATGCCCTTTCTCATGAACTTGACTAGCTTTGGTCATTTTACCCTGTGCTTACCCAGTGTCCAAAACCTACAACAAGGTTTCTATTATCAAATCCAACAGAAACAACTTTCAAACAGTCATGTGAATAGCACTGCACCTGAAGGAACTCACTGGAAATGAAACCAAAGCTCAGCTTCAGTGGTCAAGACTGTGTTGTTGTTTTATCAGGAAAAGCATTATCACTGCCCCTTTAAAGATCACTTAAGAACATCAGACTAAATCACAGATGGCAAGAGGAATTTAAAATATAACTTTCTTTCTCTAACAATTTGTAAAAATCCAGGCTTATAATTGAAAGTGGGGATTCCAGGAGGTACACATGTACCATGTTCAGGGCAGCGTTTTCCACGATAGTCCCAAGGGGTGGAAGCGAGCAGCGTCCACTCACTGATTGAATGGATAAGCAAAATGTGCGGTATACACACAATGGAATATTATTCTGCCTTTAAAAGGAAGGAAATTCTGCATGTGCTGCTATGTGGATGAACCTTGGAGACATGGTGCTAAGTGAAATAAGCCAGTCACAAAAGGACAAATACTGTATCATTCCGCTTGTGTAACGTACCTAGAGTAGTCCCAGTCCCAGAGACAGACAGCAGAAGCGTGCTTGCCAGAAGCAGTAGGGCGGGGCGGGGGGGAGAGTTACTGCTGACTGGGTACAGAGATTCAGTTCTGCAAGATAAAAAGTTCTGGAGATGGATGGTGCTGATGGTTACACCTTGTGAATGTGCTTAAAAAATATGTATAATTATTATTTTTTTAATGCCCTTAGACCATGGAACCACTGGAAGAGACACTTGGGATCTTCCCAGTTCAATTCTCTTACCATTCACCTTTTTCTATGGCAGATTTCAAACACAGAAGTAGTCAGAAGAGTTTAATGAACCTCCTTTTACAGTATACAATTCAGCTTCAATAGTTGTCAGTTTATAGCCAATCTAAATTGGTCTTTACCCTCATTTTTTCCCTCCATCCCACAGAATTATTTTTTAAAACGTTTTATTTGGAAGTAATTTCAAGGATATAGGAAAGTAATAAAAATGAAAACAGTAAAGCAAAAACAAACACCTACTATCCTTTACTCAGGTTCATCTGTTACTAACATTTCATTTGCTTTCTTTATATGTTCTTTCTCAGCCTCTCTCACATATGCACCTCTCCCCACACTTTTTTCCCCACCTATTGGGGGTTAAGTTACATATATCCTGGTCCTTTACCTTGAACTACTTCATTGTGTATTTCCTTAAAATAAGGATAGTCTCTTACATACCATTGAGTACAGTTACCACTTTCAGTAAATTTAACACTGAGTCAATTTTATCTCCACCCCATTTGTATCCCAGGTTTTGTTTTGTTTTGTTTTGTTTTTAAGATTTTTCATTTATTCATGAGGGACGGGGTTGGGGGGCAGAGGACAGGGAGAAGCAGGCT